GGGGCAAGAGGGGTTGTTACCAAAATTGAAATTTATTGGGAAAATATAAAATATGGAAAAGATCACAGATTAAAGTGTTCTTGTTTTGCTCTTATCCACTAACCAATTTTGAAATCTATTGAATGGTGGAGTTATATGAAACTGTGAAAAGATAGGTTCATCTCTAGAAGCTTGATTGCATACATGGTTTCATCTTCTTTTTCCTTTTTGGTTTTGACAGGAATTGCTGACCGTTTAGCAGCAGCTTTTGGGCACTCAAAGTTTAGTTTGGGTTTTACTGGAACACACGCACTTCCTCAGATCTTCTATGCCCATGTTTAGTATGTTTCTGATTCATAAATTTTGTGCAGTTATGTTTCATGGGAAAGGCTGATCAGTGTTGAAAATCTGAATCAGATTTTACTTGTTTCAAAAGAATATGGACTATGGAGTTTTGGTGTATTTTTGGTAGGTAAAAAAGGCTAAACTAGGTAAAATACTAAAAATTTAAACCAAGAATGTGAATATCCAAACACTTCTTTCCAAATGCTCTTATCGACAACATTTTGCAATTGGCATCTTGACCCGTCAGAAATGTTCTTTTCCCCAAAATGATAAGCATTACATACCAAACATGCTCATTGTTATTTCACTAACCATCAAACAAAATGCCCTTTAAGGTCATTTACTAACTCTTTTTTCTACATTAAATTTTTCCACACGCTTATCATAAAAACATGGATAATGGAAGGGAATACATGGGAGGAAAGTTAAAATGGAAGAAAAAGTTTTATGTGAATAAAAACATATTTGAACTCACCTACTATCTAGTGGAGTATCTACTAGGAAATTTCAAAGTAATCAAGTCATTTACATCCAGTCATTAATTAAAGTTTAAAGCCTATCCAATCCATGCATTGTTGCCATAATGAATGGATTCAATTTAGATAGAAGAGAAAGAGAAGGAAAGAAAAATAGCACTAGCATTAGCGAGTAAATTTCTGTTCTTTTCATTTGGAAGAATTAATTTCTAATTTTTTCCAAGTCTTTTTAGTTTCTTCAAAAAAAAAAAAACAGTTCCTTCTAACTTCTTCTAGTTTCTTTCAATGACTTAAAATGTATTTATACACTATGAATATATAATAATACTCTGTATTATATATCCAAATTTATAACATATCACATCAAACACGAACAATGATAAATTATTTTTTATCCAAAATTTAAGTTTTTACGTTTTATTTGGATGATCATTTAATTGAGTGATTTTCTAACACTTAAATTCTTCCAATATTTTCTAACTCCTAATTTTTTTTTCAAAATTCTTATGGTTTCTTTTAATTTCTTTCAATACCCAACTCAGAAATTTTAGCTCAAAAGAGTAAGGGCTAAAGAATAAAATTCCTCACCTCTCTACACTTTTTCTTAGGGCTGGGTCGGAAAAACCGAAAACCGAAAACCAAACCGAAATCGATCGAAACGAGTTAAAAAAAACCGAACAGAAAAAACTGAAACCGAATGTAAAAAAACCGAACCGAACCATTATTGTTTGGTTCCGTTTTGGTTTTTACTTTGAAAAACCGAACCAAATAAATTGAACTTATTTATATACTTATTTTTTATGTATATGAATATATGTGATATGTATAAAAATCATATAAACAAACATGCAAATATATTACTAGTTGATAAAAAATTTTTAATTAACTATTAATTAAACATTTTAACCATGTTATAAACTTTAAAAAGTCTAAGATATAAATACCAATAATTAATCCTAATATAGAATTATATAACATTAAAAATTAATATGAGTAGTTAACATATTAACATAAAAAAACTTTGATGTTATAATGTAAATAAAAGTATTATATAAAAAAAACATAAATTCTCTATAGTTGATTTTACATACGATATCTTTAGGAGTATTTGGGATCTCCTAGATGTTTGTTAGGCACTTGACACATATTTTGTATGTAAAATTGAACCGAATAGAATACTAACCTTCCGTTCGGCATTTTTTTGTGTGTAAAAATCAAGCAAAAAAACCAAACCCAAACTTACGTATTGTTATTGCTTCGTCGAGTTATAGTATTTAGATAATTTTTAATGCTTATAAGTATTTACTTTTAAAAACCGAAAAAACCGAAAAAAACCAAAATAAAAACCGCATAAAAACCGAACCGAATAACCAACGGTTTACATATTTTTTATGCAAAACCGAACCAAATCGAACCGCCAACTTACCTTCCGTTTTGTCTTTGGTTTTGGGTAAAAACCGAACCGCCAAAACCGAACCCACCCCTACTTTTCCTCTCATCATTTTTTGTGTGGAAACTTTTTAAAATATTTCTCTCCATCCCAAATTATGTTCTAGTTTAACTTTTATAGTCAAAATTAGCATAAAAGTCAAACTAAAACAAGTAATTTAATTTGGAACGAAGGAAGTGCTCCCTAATGGCGAGGAAATGCTTTTTTCACTCAACCCATCCATCCTACTTGAGGGTTCGTTTGGAAACGAGGAAAGCAACTTCTAGAAAATGAGTTCTGGAAAATAAGTTATTTTCCCGTCGTCATTTTTATTTTCGATTGTTCCGCTAAAAGTCTAAATATGATTCATTTCTATTTGATTCATTTCCCATCAAATAAATATCCCGAGAATGATTTATTTATTACTCCCTCCATCCCAAAAAGAGTACCGCATTCCCTTTTTCAATGATCACGGAACTTTTAGTTATTTGTACGTTTTCATTGATTATTTGATAAAAGGTCCCTAGTTATAGGTCGTTTTACATATTTAGTCCCTACATATCAAATATTACTAATTTAGTCCCCAATTATTATATCATTTTTCACGAATGGTCATTTGTTAATGTTTTTGTTAAGAACATGGATAAAATTGTATATCCATATATACTTCTCTCTCTCTCTCCTCAATTAAGTTCCTCCCTCCTTTTATATTCTTTCCCAAACTCGTCGCTGAGTTTGAAGCTCTAAACTCAAAACTAAAATAATCATTCCTCTCTCAATTATTAGTCTTCCCGATGGAACTTAAAATCAAAACCAATAAGTTTTATGGATGAGTTTTATCAGTTAGTCTCAAAAATTGCAAAGAAAATAAACATTAAAACTCCTCCATGAAGGTTATTAATTTCGAATTTGGGTTCCACCAGTTAGACAAACAATTGAGAGAATAGTGATTATTTCGGTTTTGAGTTCAAAGCTTCAAACTCAGCGACGAGTTTGGAAAAGGAGTGCGAGGGGAGGGAGAAAGCTTAATTGAGGAGAGAGAGAAGTGTGAATTTACAATTTTATCCACGTTTTTAACGGAAATGTTAACAAAGGACCATTCGTGGAAATTAATATAATAATTGGGGACTAAATTAATAATATTTGATATGTAGGGATTAAATATGTAAAACAACCTATAACTGGGGACCTTTTATAGAGTTTACTCTAAAATAAAATATGGGTAATTTACCTAAATACGATTAAAACATAATGATTTTTTCAATATAAGACCATATGTTTTTATTTCCCAATGTAGAACCATTGATCATTATCTATTAGTCATTATTCAATTAAATATCCAGCATCCCTTGGACATTATTCTTCTCACTAGTCATTATTAAGTCCTATTTAGGGAATAAAAAAGTTTAAGTCCTACATTGGGAAATGATTTATGTTTTAGTCCTATTCAGTGCAAATTTCAATAAAATATTTTAAAAATCTCTTATTTTGAAGAACTTTTTTCATATAGTTTTTAAATATGCAAATTTTATTTTTTATACCAATATTTAAATAAAATAAATTAAAAAAATTTGATATTTTACTTCGTTTTGCGAAAAATACAACATACCCGTACATATACAAAAGTGCAAATCAAGTTCATAATTTTTACTCCCTCCGTCTCGCTATATTCGTCCAATTTTGACTTTTGGAACTGTTCATCTAAGCACTTTGACTCATCAAAATCTCTCAATGTGTAAGCCTAAATATAGTCATGTGTGATCTTGTTTGATTTGTCTTAACATATAGATTATTAATATATAATTTCTATAGTTTTTTGATATACAAATTACAAGATAAAATGGATTAAAGAAGTGTATTGGATGGTGTGTAAAAATGAAAGTGGACAAATACTCTGGGACGGAGGTAGTAAATGCTCCTCATCATTGTTTTGTTTGGAAACTTTTAAAAACTCTCCATCCCAAGTACCTATATCATACACTTGGATGTACAATATTTTTCGTATATCTACTTGAATACTCATTTTTTTAACTGAACACTTATTTTCATGCAATACGATAATCATTTTTTTAGCATAACTGAATTTTAGTAAAAATGAGTATTTAGTTACTCAAAAATGAATGCTTATTTGTACAAAAATGAGTATTCATTTGCTAAAAATGAGTATTCAATTGCTCCAATATGAGTATCCAATTGGTCGTAAATGAGTACTCACCGCGGATGTAACGAAAACATCGTCCAAGTTGTACGATATATATTGCGTTCTATCCCAAATGATATTTGGGAGAAGGACCAAAGTAGTATGACATATCCTCAAAATAAGATTTGAAACATAAACTTCCCTAAATATGAGTAATTAACTTAATTAATCTAATGGATTAAAGTTAAGAGCGAAATAGAAGTAAAACATCGACTATGTACCAAAATAAAAGTTATATTCATATTACAATGAAATTAAATACATTTTATGAATTAAAAAAAATTTTAAATTAGCTACAACCCCTGCCGCACATGTCACATGCCATCGTTGGTACTGTCGTCGATATTAAATGCGGCCATCATCTACATTGTTGCTGCCACTAACACCGCCACGGTCGGCACAATAGCCGTCATCACCACCACGATCTACAGCTCTCATGCCCATTTGTTGCGGATGCCGCCTCCATCACCCCCATTTTTTACTGTCAATGTCAGAATTTACTGCCATTGTCGCCACCATAATGTCATGGTGTCACTGCCAAGGGAGAAAGCTTTCAGTTCCAATACAATGTCAACCAAAGCCATAATGTCAAAGACGATAATGCATACTGACAAACCTGTCATTGCATAATGCCTAACATGTTATTGCGTAATGCCAAACATGTTAATATAAAATGTAAAAAAGAAAGTGAAATGTCAAGATTACCAACATACAATGTCAAATTTCTTATTACTATCACCAAATTTTACTGAAATTGGGAGTAAAATTTAAACACAACTAATAGGAAAACAATCAAACAAAAAATTAAAAGGAAAAACAATCAAATACAAAAATGAAAAGAAAACTCCAAACCAAAATCAATGCCTAATGAAGATACAATTTTTTTGGAGAAAAAAAGGATGAATGCAATTAGTTGGAAATATTTTTTACTTCTACAATGAAGTCTCAATTATAGAGCATTTGGAAGCTAATTAAAAATCAAAATCATAGTCATCGGGACTGGCGGTAATCTCAGATATGTTGGATATAGGCAATGTGATAGATCTGCTAGGGGGAGAGATAGAGGCGGCGCTCCGCGGTGGATCTACATGGGATGCTTCGTGACAGATCTACAAAGGGGGAACCTGGTGCGGTGGCATTGTGAGGAGTGGGGCGGTAGTGATGTACCGCATGCACTTGGGGTGGATTTGACGGAGGCAACGCTTCAAAATGGTATACAAGCGTCGCTAAATTCCGTCGCCAAATTCCGTCGCTAAATTCTGTCGCCACTTCCGTCGTAGACTAGCGACGGAAAAGAAAAATCCGTCGTCACACTGACTACTAACGAAAAAATAACGACGGAATCTGTTCCGTCGTTACGAAGATCACCTACGGAAATAAGGCTTTGGCGACGGAATTATTCCGTCGCCATTTCAGCAGTTTCTTGTAGTGGTAAGGGTGGTGGCCAAAAATGAGAGAGATGGAAGAGAGAGAGGCATGATGGGGTGGCCGTAAGGAGATGGACCAGATGATATTTTAGTTTGACTTTTATGTTAACCTTGACCACAAAATAAGTATAATATTCAATAGATAAAAGATAAAAATTTAATACCGAGTATGTCAAAACTGCATCTTAAAACAAGCTCAATTATATTAAATTTACAATAAAAGTAAATATATTTTTTTCATATTTTATAGTCAAAATTAGCATAGAAGTCAAACTAAAAGAAATAGTTTGGATCGAAAGGAGTGCTCCCTATTTGCGAGGGAACGCTTTTATCACTCAACCCTTCCATCCCACTTTAGGGTCCATTTAGAAACTAGGAAAATGAGTTTTGGAAAATGAGTTATTCTCCTGAAGTCATATTCTTTTTCTGTGTTAGGCTGAAAATGATCTACTTGGGGTCTCTCTCTTTGATTCATTTTCCAGATAATGAATATCCTTAGAAGTGTTTAATTATTACCACATAAACCAAAAAAAGAAAGAGGCTTTGTTGTTGTTGACTCATAATAACAATGACATACTCCCTTTTATTAATTCATACAAACATACCTTATAACAAAATGACACAAGCATACACTAATTCATAAAATCTGGTCTGACACTCTGACTCCATAGAACTCTTTGATTCATGTCTTCCTTCTTCAAAGCACCCCTAAAACCACTTAGTTCCATTTGCTCAGTCCATCTGAACTGCAGTGAGGCACAACCACAGCCATCCTAAGCCTTGCGCCACTACAGCCATTTTAAGCCTTCCTAGTTCCTAGTTAGTTTCCAAAGGTGAAATATCAGTAGATGGATGTATTACAACCTAGCGGAAATATGTAAGAGTAATATGCCAGAAGATTCAAGAACACAGACAGATTATAAAAGGCCAATTACTATAACAATATGAATTACCTAAGCTATTCTTTATCAGCAAAAATCACCTAAGCTATTTGGACACCATGAATTACTCAGTAAAATCCAGTCCAAAAATAAAAAATCAGTACTATGAATAGGAGATAATAAAAATCAGAATTGCTTTTGTTTGGTTCATTTTCTGAAAAATGAAAAATCATTTTGAAGCATAAATCAAACAAATCACCCAAATTCAATCCAGGCATTCATAGCACAAAAAACAACCCAGGCATTCACGCACTAACTCAAGATCTATTATCTATTTTTCCCCAAGATCTTAATCAACCAAGAATAAAGAATTGTTCTTCAATGTCCTCCCCCAAAAAATAAAAACAAATGAATCACATTCCAAGCCTAAATTAAATTTATAGCCCAAAACCTAATCTGTAACGGAATAACGAATTTACCCTTATCGCCACTGATGTTCTACTGTGAAGACGAACAATGACAAGGATGAAGATGTGCATAGGCGGCGATGGGGATGAGATGGTGAAGATGGAGGACGAAGGAGATGGGAAATGGCGGCGATAGGGATGGAGACGGGGGAGATGGGGGCATAGTTTGTAAGGCGTCGCCTAGGCGATAAAGCGCTGTCACTAGGACGCCTTGACTGCTCGCCTCGCCTAGAAAACCATAAGGCGCTCACTTAGGCGTCGCCTTTCCTCGCCTTAACTCGCCTTACCTCGCCTTGATGCCTTGGGCCCCATTAAAAGTTTGAAGAAACCCATTTATTAGTGCAGCCCATTTTCTTTTCGTGTAGCCTAATAGACTTAAACTTATCTTCTCTCTCGGTCTCCTCTTTCTCGACCAAGCTTCTTTAAAATGTATAAGACATATATATATATATATATATATATATATATATATATATATCTCTGTGTGTGTGTGTGTGTATGTAGGTATGTATGTATGTCGCCTAATTGTCGCCTAGGCGTGCGCCTAGTCGCCTAGGCGATATGAAGGTACATTGGCGACTCGCCTCGCCTTGCCGCCTTACAAACTATGGATGGGGGGACGACGATGAAGACGGGGATTGAGATCAGCGGAGAGCAGAAAATAGAGGTGGAAAATGACTTCCGTAAAAAAAGTTTGGAAGTCAAATTCATTTTCCATTTGACCAGGAGTTTGTTTGTTTTCTTTACACCATTTTCCTATCTTGTCAAACACCGGAGAATGGGAAAAATGACTTCCAGAAGTCCTTTTTCCCCTTTCCAAATGGAGCCTTAATTCTTTCTCTCCATTAAGCTGGGGTGGGAAATTTCCACATAGAGAGACAAAAAAAGTATGTGAGAAAAAATGGTAATCACACTAGTTGGGAGCAAATATATATGTAATATTCTCCCATTAGTGGGAGTGGGAGGAATGAGTCGATTCTATCACGTCTTCCCTAATCGAGCCACACACAAAGAATGGATAGAGTTCAATGGAAGGGAGAAAGATGAAGAATGCATGTGTTACTTTCATTGGTTCTGTAAAATGTCCGGAGAGTGTGAAGATGTTTACATTTTCTTGTGTATTTCACTTAGCGTGTGTGAAAGAGAAATTCTATCCATCAATTGTCAGACGAGCGATGCTGTATGGCTTGGAGTACTGAGCAGTTCAGAAAACCCACATGAGTAAGCTATATGTAGTAGAGATGCGGGTGCCACGATGGATATATGGGTAGACAAGGTTGGATAAGATTCAAAATGAGGTTATTAGGGGACGGGTGGAGGATAGGCTGAGAGAGAGAGTAGGTTGAGGTGGTTTGGACACGTGATGCCATACAATACAGAGGCTTTGGTGCAAAGATGTGAGGCTTACGATGGTGTGTCCAAAATAGAGGAAGAGGTAGACCTAGGATATGACCTGAGACTTTTGGGTCTTACCGAGGATATGACCTTAGATAGGTGCATCTCGAGAGCTGGGACTAGGATGATAATTGGGTATACTTTTGGACATTGAGGTAGTTTTCTACACTTGTTGCATGCTGCTTTGTAGGGTGCTTTCTGTTTCTTTGTGTTTTTCTTTCAATCTTTCTTTTCTTTTTACTCGCTAGGTGCTTTTATGGTAATGCTCTTTGCTTTCTATATTTTACGTGTTTTCTCGAGTTGGGGTCTCTTTTGGAAAAAGTGTCAAATTTCAAGTAGGTGTTTTAAGAAATAGGGATTCTAATGGAATGTTGTTGTTATTGTTGTGTATATATTTCACTTAGATCAAATGGCTTAAAAACTAGGGAGTGCAAGGTTAAGGAGGAGAGACAAAGAGTCTTGATAGAACAAATAATNGGTTAAAGAAAATGCAACTTTGCGAGTTAGGCATGCACAGAGTATCTAAAACATGCATGTTATGTTTTCACTTTTCTTTTTTACTGATACCAAAACTATGTTTCTCTTTCTCTTAACAAATGAATTATTTGATTTATTATATTCTTTAATATTTTGCATAAATTAATACATATTTCTTAAATTGTGTCCGTCAAAGTGACATAATTTCTGTATATACCAAAAATTTATGGTAGACCTTCATATAAGTTTATAAGCATTTACTTAGTATTGAGATAAACACATCTTAATTTTTTTAAACTAAGGGTCTGTTTAGTTGGGGCCTTGGGGCCTTGGGGGGGGGGGGGATACTTTTCTGGAAAACTTCAATTCTAATTTCCAATGTTAGGTAACATAAGTGATGAAAAATTATTTATTAGGAAAATATTTTTGAAAAAAAAGGACAATATGGCTCTCGTTTGCTTTAGACGGGAGTTCATTTTCTTACTCAATCCAATGCATCCTTAGGTCGGCCATTCATATAAGTCGATATAAAGAAAATGCCATTCCTCAAAGCATTGCAGCAATGGAAATATGGAATGCAAAATTGCAAAAAGCATACCTTTGAAGCAATTCTTTGTTATTCAATCCGCCAAACCTTGGTAGTCTGCTTCCAACAGACTCTTCGAAAGCATTGCGCACAGACCGAATGCTTAGCCTTCCATACATTATCTTCAGATTTTCTTAGGCTTTATGTCATTGGCCTCTGTGTTTTGGAGAAGGTATAATCGGACTGTATGGACTGCAAGTCCTGTTTTTGGATTCTTTTGCATGAATGGTTTTTGCGTTATTTGTGCTGGCAGGGTATTTATTGAAACTTTTAAGTGGGTGTCATTTGGCAGGGTCTTGGAGCATCTGCAACCTACGGTTTTTTCTTGTCCGTTTGTTCTTTGGTGTAGGGAAGCAGGGTGTTTTCCTCTTTTTATGAGCTACGACTTTTTTTTAGGCATTAGTTAGTTTCTTTAGGTATTAGTTAGTTTCTTTGGCATTTATTTGGACTTGAGCTCTATAGCCTTTGGGTTGTATTATCTTCTGCTTTATCATTAACACTTTTTTAAAGAAAAGGTTTTGATGGGTATGCTTTAGCTCATTGAGGTTTAATTTGTTTAGATCATTTGTCTAAGTTTCTTATTACTATTTTGCTTAATCTTCCATTGTAGTATTTTTGGGTAAGAAACTGTTAGAAAATAGGTAGGCCTGTTTTATGTATGCATGTGTGTGCTACTAATCTAATTTCAAGCTTTGGTAAAAGACTAGCATTGTGAACCAAATGACTCCCTAATAAGTGGGTCACTCTCACTCATCGTATTGTAATTTTTTCCTCCCCCATTATCCTATTTTTTACTCTGGTCTTGAAATTCTTTACTCTTAAAAGTTTTACTTCAGTGAATAGCGAAGTCCAAAATGAGAGGATTCGAAATAATTGTACGTATGCTATGAAGAGATCTTATATTTTCCAGAGTATATACTTTTCGAAACAATCACCCGTGGTCTTATCTTGTAATGTTATGATGGAATTTTATATTTTTTGTACAGTGTGCTTTTCTTCACAATACTCGTAGATGTTCATAATCATGTCTAAATTCTTTCTGAACTAAAACTAATGGTTCCTCTATTGAAGATAGTCTAAGTATATACATTTTTAAAGCACTTCTATAAACTTTTCATTAACTGAAATAGGTACAGAGTATATATCACGTTAAATTTATACTTCAAATTTTATTATTCAGTGGTAGACATTTATTCAACAAAGTTCTTATTTTTTCATATTTTGGATGAAATTCTTATAGTGCAACGCACAATGGGTGAATCTAGTGTCCACCGAAACGAAAATAGAATTGCACAAACTCTATTGGTATTTCATTATCATTGTAGTAGATGCTAACAAATGTCTTGACAAATATATTTGAAAAAGAAAAGAAGAAGTTTACCCCCACACAAGCTCCTCGCTAAATGTCGCACTACTTTTGAAGAAGTGAAGCCAGATTGAGTTCAACATCCTCTCTGGCCTTTTTATCGAATGGTTCATCACCGATGTACAGGTCTAAAATTGATCGACACAATGCTTTGCTCTGTATGCTTCCCACTTCCTTTCCATTAACTACAAAAATCAAATGATAATTATATATTACATTAATTGAGAATGAATTGATGAGCGTAATTTCCGGATTGAAGCAAGAGAACTTAACTATTTGCATTGCATTGTTAACAGAAGAAGGATTCAATTTTGCAAGGTACAATCAAGTAAGGAATAGATGGGAACCACGTCTTCATATAATCCAACCACTTTGATTGCAAATAATAACAATCAATAATGCCCCCTCCGTCCTCAAATTAAAGTCACACTTTCACTTCAAAGAGTGTAAGAGAAATGTGAGTTGAGTTAGCCAGGTATGAACTTTATATAGACGGATGGAAAAAGAAAGTGTGGATTTAACTTCAGGGCGGAGGGAGTAATATAATACTCCCTCCGTCCATAAATAAACTTCCCACTTTCCTTTTTTGTCTGTCCACAAATTAACTTCCCGTTTCCTTTTTGGAAACTTTTTTATACCAAAAAAAACTTAATTACCCTCACCCATCTACTCTCTTTCTTTTCTTGTTTCTTCTTCCTCTCAATCCGGCCACATCCCACCCATTCTTCTTTCTTCTTTTCTTTTCTCTTTTTTCTTTTCCCCCTCCCTTTTGATTCGCCCACTCCTCTTCGTTTTTCTTTCTTTTTTTTCTCTCTTCTTCTTTTTCTTCTTCTTCTTCTTCTTCTTTCTTTTCTTCTCTTCTTCGTTCTTCTTTTATTCTTCTACTTCTTCTTTTCTTCTCCTTCTTCTTTCATTCCTTTTTCCTCCCCCTTCTGATTTTGTCCCGTCACGTAGTGATTGGGATCAGCGGAGCAGAGAGGCAGTGGTCAGAGGTGACGCAGCAGTCAGATCTGCTCCTCTTCCGACATAGCCGCCATCAATTCCATAGATCTACAAAGCCTCTGTTGCTCCTAGCCTCGGCTGAGATTCATCCGTTTCTGGGTTGTCTTTAACGAGAAGATACAAAACAGATCTAGAATAGATATACGAGGGTGGGGGTTATGGAAGGGATGGCGGCAACAAGAATGAGAGAAATCATCTTGGGGTGCCAGAGAGTTGTCGGCGGTGCCGGAGAATCGCCGGCGGTGGTGTTGGCAATGGCAGATGGCTAACTGATCGATGGAATTGAGCGATTGAGAGATGTACAGGTGCAGGGGTATAATAGGAAAGTCAAAGCAATTTTTATCATACATTAATTTGTGTGCCCGGTCAAACCGGTTAGTTTATTTATGGTCGGAGGGAGTATTAATAATATACTACGGGGTACTTCATATGTAGTAATAAGTATAACGATAATCATGATCATAATCTCATTACTTTACAGTGCAAAGTTTAGAATCAAGAAACGCCCCTGGATGAGATTCGGAAGACAACGATATATAACAATCTTACTTGTGGTCTGAAGTACAAAGCCTGGCTCCCTTGAGAGTTCTATGACAGCTCCACGAGGTATCTTGATTTCATCACTGAACTGGGAAGTGAATCTGCAGTAAAGACAAGTACTTTAGGCCATCTTTTCTGGAGCAAAGCCGTGAAGGGGGAAAATACAGAAGAAGATTGGTTAGCTGATTGCCTTCTGCATCAAACCAGTAGCAGTTCAGGAGACATCAATGAAACTGAACTGAGAGAGATATGTCCCATGGATCAGCAGTACAAATGTTAAGAGTATTAAATGTTTCTTGGGTCTTTAACCATACACATAAACTATAGGTTAGAGACCCAGAAGATGTTGCATACTCTAACACACAGATAACTCATACCACATTGGTCCAGAGATCGAATTGCTTCATTTCATGTTCCTCATAAACTACTTGGCCCTTCATAGAAGTCGATATTACAGAAAACACCATTCATCACAGCATTGCAGCAATGGAATACAGAAGCATATACCTTTGAAGCAATTCTTTGTTATCTGATCCGCCAAACCTTTGTAGTCTGCTTCCAACAGACTCTTCAAAAGCACTGCGCACGGACCGAATGCTTAGCCTTCCATACATTATCTGCAGCCTAATCGTGGTGCGTATATCATTGTCCATTAGTTCACCCTTCAACTCCTTTGCCTTTGACTGAGAACCAAAAAGCGCCTCATTTTTTTCTTTGAGAAAGCTCTGCACATCAGCTTCATTGGCATACACGCCTGCATGCTCAATATCACAAACCCATGTCCTAATTAGGTTAATCATGAATTAAGTTTAGGTCCACCTATAACAGTTTGTTGTGCCAAGTTTTACTATATAGCGATTAAGAGAGTGAAAACTATGTGATTGAGATTTATGTAAATAAGAGAGAAACTGTATGGATCACAAAGTGTTTATTACTAAATCTTATAAGTGAAAACAGATACAACAGATTGGGACAGGAGTGGTGCGATAATAACAATGCCATACCAAAAGCATAGACATCGATGTTCTTTAATCCCAAAATGGCCTTCTTTCTCAACCCGATCCCTAGAAGTCGCTGAGAGTCTTTCAGAACGGCCGGGAATGACATGCCGGTCCTCGATTCCGTCACAGGGGCCGAGCTGCCGGAGAGAGAAAGGGAACCCCATAACGGGTGGAAGTGATTCTTCTCGGGTGAGAAGTTTGAGAGCAGGAAATTCAGTGGGTGGTGCTTGCTAGTGATCTGCGCGATTGCAAGGATTCCGCCGGCAGCAACGGCAGCGGAAGACGCGACTGCGGTGTTAGAGAAGGGGCGGGAAGAGCAAGTGGAGGGTTGATTCGGTGGCTTAGGAAAGAAGAATGGGAAGAGGAGGGAAGCCATAGTTGCTGACTTGCTGCAGCTTTCTCGTTTGATTTGACAGAAGAACAGAGGGATGTAGAGATTTTTTTTCAATAAACACAATTTTCTTTGGATTATGATAAGATTGCGGAGTTGGCTAGGCAAGGGGCTAAAGGGTAAGACCTGAGTTTAATATCTGACAACTGCACTGGGAAGCAAATATGTTAAGCACGGGGCTTCTGGAAGTACCAGGTACACGCTCTACTTTTTGTCACCAATCTGTTATTAAAATCCAATTTATTTGCTCTCAGTTACCGTCCGGTTGGGTCTGAGGAGGCCCTCGGGGATGGGGCTCATTCATTTGAATAAAGACAAAAATAGTCGGTCTCATATTTTTATTTCTAAAATAAGAGTTAAATTTTACCTACATTACAAATCATGACTATGTACATTACTAAAAAATAAATCTGATCAAAGCGCAGGCCGGGCCAGGTTTCGGGCCGGACCGAGACGCTACATTACGAGAATTTTCTAGACATGAACCCAGCCGGACCCGTATAGAGGGCCTAACAATTGAAGCCTGAGTCCGGCCCAGGCGGATACCCACAGGCTTCACGCCGGGCCGGGCCGCACGACAAAAGCATCTAAACGATTTTAAAATAATTTTTTTTAAAATAAAGTAATGTATTACGAAGTAATATACTACATGTTTAATATAATAAATATAGTGAGTAAATGAAATCATAATTGATATATAAAATGTGTTTTGTTTGAAATTGCTGCTACATATGGAGTAGGGGTGTACAATATCTGGGTTTAGAACCGGTAAAATTCCGGTCCAAGACCAGATCGTTTCCGGGTTGGACTGGTAAGATCGGAATGTCCATTTTTTTAATAAAAAATTAATACCTATAATACGGAGTATATATATAATTACAAATACAACTTTATATTTTCATTTATTATTCTTACTTTAATATGGAGTATAATTTTTTAAATGTAATTTGTATTTTTTAATTCATTTCATTGACTTTACCATAGAATATTCATAATTATAAAAATTAAAATTATCTTCCAAAAATTGAAGTAGAATATTTCGATTTAAAGTATTAAATACTTTGACATATACCTTATTCTTGCTAAAAGCAAAATACTTTAAAGTATAATTTTATAATATTTTTAAAATCCCACAAACTAACGGAAGTATAAAAATCATTTTAAACCTAATATATTATTGATAAAAATATTTTATATCAATATAATTTCTTGAAACACACCCAATGGATATAAAAATTAAATGTAGGGTTGAAATTATTTCAAATCATGCTACAATAATGAAAAAAAACTTTAAAACATTGACAAAAAGAATTAGAAAAAATATATTCTGGGTTTTCCAGTTTTTACCAGGATCGGACCAGAAAAAACCAATCCCGGATGGTCCAGACCCGAATCTAATAGGTCCAGTTTCCGGTTTTTCCGGTTCGGGTTCGGTTCGGTTCTGGACCGGTGTACACCCCTAATATGGAGTATGAAGTATTATTTATTGGAATTCCTTTAACAATATGTGATACATAGTAAATAATACAGATTAATAAAGATGTAGGCAGCGTTTCGCGTTAGCGTTTTCAAAGTAATCTGTACCGTTAAGTTTTTATCCAAAACGCTAACGCTACTCTCTAAAGCTATTCCCAAACAGGCCCGTATTCATTTTATTAAATATACTTATAATTCATTTTTTTCCTAGAAGTATATATGTGTGTTTATAATAATTTGAAATAGTATTGTTTTTTATTATTATTTAGATTAATGTTATTTTTATTATTTTATCATAGTTATACTAATAATAGATATTTTAATTTATTCGTGCCGGATCGTTCCGTGGGTATGAGGATAAAACCCGAACTCGGCCCTAAAATGCTTGGGCCGTCATTTATAAAGCCCAAGCCTGGCCCGTACCCTAAAATATTAAGCCCAAGCCCGTTATTTTGTGGACCGGCTGGATACCCGAGCCCATGATCGGGTCTATAGTAAAAAGAATAGTAAAATGTCCATTTATAGTGCCACATTGGAAAAAAAATATGGAACTCATATCTTGATACTTTATCTATATCTTAATTATATTTAGGGTGATTTCTTTTTTTTTCTTAGATTTTTTTTTAATTTTAAAGTTTCGAATCTCCACATTCCACCCATTTGAATACCACAAGAGAAGGGTCTAGGAAGGGTGTGTGTACGCAGACTTTACCCCTATTCAAAAATATAGAGGCTGTTTCCAAAGAGACCCATGGCTCAACGTCAAAAGTTGCATTAATTAACTAACAACTACTCATTAATTAAAGAAGGAGATAGAGTTTAGAAATTCATTTTACTTTATTCCATCATACCCCAAATCAAAAAATAGTAAATTCTTGGCTATGGGAGAAGATGGGAATTAACTTTAAGAATGTTATATCAAGGCCATATCAAAACTTTAAATCCACCAAATTTTTAAATCTATTTCTATAATAATAAACTTAAAACAATAATTTAAATAAAAAACTACATTTAACTAAAATAAATTATTTTATTTATTAAATTAATCAAAATATATTTTTCTTTTAATTAAAACAAATAAAATATTAATCCTTCCATCTAACTCATATTGTTCACTTTGATTTTTGCACATTAACCAAGGAGAAGGAATAAAATTGAGTAAATGACTCTAATACCCTACCACATAGAAACAGACCATGTCATATCTTGTGTCTGTTCAGTCGTTTGCTCGTTCCTCCCCACAACTATCGCCCTTACCTAATCAACTTTCTGCTCCACCATAGAGTGACGTCGTAGCCGGCGACATGCGCTCCGACGAGCCTGTACACAAAGTCCAAAAATTAGACGTGAAAGATCTGTCATCTTCAACAAATTAGATTAAGGACATCTCAGATCTACGGTTATCTTCATCAAATCTAACAAATTCGTCGCCTAAAGGTAAGAGAGAAGACATTGTCGTTGCAGAAGAGCATCTTTCAGCGAGGATCTTCGTTCCCCAACCCAATGAGTTTGACTTTGAGTTCTTGGTACAATCTCTGTTTGTACGACATGATGGTAGTGCCTTCCATGAGCTCAGGCAATAATGATCTTGTACTAGACGAAGCAATGTAACCATTGGTAAGAGTTCGAGATCATATCTCTTTTTCGGTGGGATGGGATGAACTAAGAATTATTTTAATTGGGGGTATATTGGTTTGTATGGTACGAAATACTCATCAAAATAGATATTGGACAAATATACTGGACATATTTAAAAAGAATACTAGACAAACGACTTGGACCAATGAAGTATATAATTATGAAAAAAGGGATAAAGCTAGAGACGTGATGGGCAGGGATCATCACACACAAAAAAGTGAAGAATAAACCATGGGGTATACTAAAATGGGGTATCCCATTTTGGTGTACCCCTAGCATGCCCCAAAAGTGAACTTTGACATTAAAAAGTTGGGTTCACAAAAAGTGTTATCTCACACTATTATAATGGTGTAATAGCTTTAAGTTAGGTTTAAACTCCCAAAAATTATCATTATAAGCTTTTTGAGTATTCAATTGAGCTTTTTTTTTAAAGTAAAATTTAAGTGTATTTAATTAAAATTTTAAAATTATCTTTTTAAATTTAATGCATTATTTTAGGGTCACTGAAAATCGCTACCACTTGAGATCTCAGTGCTTCATTCATAAAATTAATCGTTCATGTCCATTTAACTCTCATAAACTCCTGGCCTCGACACCATCTCTTGCCCTCATCCCAGTCCCCCTTTCCTAAATCACCAATTTGGTAGTGCCAAGTAAATAAGTGGAGGGTCAAATGTAATACTAGGTGTTAAGATGTGAATGGAATGAGCTCAAAAGTAGTGGCGGAGCCAGAGAAGACTTCATGGGAGGGGGGGCAAAAATTTATTTAATAAATAAATAAAATTCATAATAGTAACTACCTTAATGGGAAAAGTCTAACTAAAAATACCTTCTATTTTTGCAAAGGAGTAAGAGTTGTTTGAGGCCGTAGAAATTTTTTTCGATATGCCAACGTTTGAAAGCGCTGGATAATAACTTCATCATCAATGCTCCTAAAAATTTCTTTCTCAAAGTAGCACAACAAACAATCTGATAAAAGCTCATCTCCCAAACGGTTGCGTAAATTAGTCTTGACAATATTCATCGCAGAAAAGCTCCTTTTTACTGAAGCTATCCCAACAGGTAATATCAATGCTAATTCTATAAGCTGATATACCAAAGGAAAATATGTGTGATAATTCATCTCCACCATCTTCTTTGCTAGACATCCAAGATTAGGGATATTAGCAAAAACTTCATTTGATCTCATATCAGAAATGTAATTTTGAAATACATGAATAAGCTCAACTCGATCACTAGAACTAAAATCTTTTGGATATAATACAGTAATTCCAATAGCCGATCTTAATCAAAATTCGCAAAGCAATTAGAAGGATAAAGACACATTACACATCTTAGTAAATTTGTGTTTGTCTCTATAAAGAGTTTATCCATTTCCACAGTAAGAATATCAATGACCTAACATCAAATAAAGAATAATAATAATAATAACTTATTTAACATGTTATGATATTAAATACTTCCAAAAATGATATCAAAATTTAAAATTAATAAAGGTAATATACCTTTGCAAAGATCTATCCACGAAAATGCACATAATTTGTCATGGGTTCACCACCTTTCATCTTCTTTCTTGATCGCCCACGAGATTAATCTTTCATGTTAGGTACATCAATTGCATGTTCTTCACCAAACTCACTAACTTCCTTCAAAAAGGCATCCCAACCATGATCTCTAAAATCTTGTAAGTTCTTTTTTTACTATACCAATCATATTCAAAACACAACCAATATTTTGATCTCGTACTTGTAATATCTTTGATAAGGTGTTAGTCATACCTAGAACTTTTAACATAAACTTTCCAATAAAAACGAACTCAAAAGAATCCATTTTTTCAAGAATGCCACTAGCACTGTTTTTAATTTTGGGTGTTTCACCATGCTTGTGTAACGAATTTAGCACTGTACCAATAGCATTCAACATATTAAAGAGACGAACAAGAGTTTTTTTAGTGAGAGCCCCAACGTGTATCACCTGGTCGAGCTTAAGATGTTGCTTGATTTTGCCCCCTACCAGTTGACAATTCACCTATTTCTATGCGATGTAAAGTTTTCTCCTTGTGTACTTGAAGGAGAAAATCCTTCTGTTTGCATGACGATCCAACTGTATTAACAATCATCAATAGCTTTTCGAAGAAATCAAATACGCTCTCTCTATCTTGTGCAGCCACAACAATAACTCGCTGAAGTTGGTGGGCAAAACAATGAATGTAGTATGCATTCTTGTTTTCATTAAGAATAAGTGTTTTCAACCCATTAAATTGACCGCGCATATTTGAAGCTTCATCATAACCTTGACTTCTTAGTCTTGAAAGGACAATCCATATTTTGCAAAAAATTCATGAATTGATTCTTTAAGAAACTTTGCATAAGTCGTCTCAACATGAATTAATCCAAGAAAACGTTCTATAATCTCACCTTTATCATTCACAAATCTCAAAATCACCGACATTTGCTCTTTCACAGAGCAATCTCGAGCTCCATCAATCAAAAGAGCAAAATTCTTTTTTCCTATCTCATTCAATATGACATTTCTTGTTTCCATTGCACAACTTTCAATAATATCTCTCTGAATGGTAGGAGAAGTCGTTTGATTATTTTTAGGAGCGTTTATTTGCATGACTTTGTCAGCAGCTACATTGGTCTTACAAAACCAAGATATGAGCTCAAGAAAATTACCTCGATGGATTGATTCGGAAGATTCATCATGTCCCTTGAAAGCTAAGCCCTCCCCCAAAACATATCGAGCCACTTTTACAACAGTTGCTAACCGAGTATGATAATCATCTTCAATGGCATCAGTGTTAGTCAAAAAGACATAAAATATGCTCTCTTTGATTAAGATATTGTTGAACTTTAATTCTACAATAAGAATGAGAACTTTCTCTGGTTCCTTCATGGTCAACAAATGCTTTGGATAATCTTTCATGTTGTTAAACCCAACTTCAGTAAAAGCCTTTGATCCATTTTTGTTTGTATTCGCAAACAAATAACAGTGCAAACAATATGCTCTATCCTTGGCGACACTATACTCCAACCCTTTAAACTTATCAAACCAATAACTTTGAAATCGTCTTTTGTTCTTGCCCGTCATACTTTGTGGAAATTTATCCATCGATGGCTTACAAGGACTTTTTTGCTAAGTATCTTCTCCTTATTACATCTCTAATTTCCAATGGATAACTATTAATTGATTTTCTTAATCCTGGATTAGCAATAATATCATCATTTGAAACCACACTTTCTTTCTCTATAGAAGAAGAAGCTTCTTTTTCACTGTCTCCATCACTTACAAATTCTAAATTCTTCTTTTGTCTAATAACAAATTTATCCATCTCACGTCTCAAAATTTCCTGATTCAATAATAAAGTAACAAAATAAAATATCAATAACCTTAAAACAACAATTTTATATATCTTAATCTCTATAAATTGAAATTACATTAACATTTATCAAATATTTAAATGTCAACAAACACACTGAAACCACGGAACATAATAAATATTCAAAATTCAAAACATAATTTAGCAATATTCAAAAATTTCAAATATTAAGAAATATATCTTGAAATCGGATAATTAAAATTTACATATACATAGACAATGAGAGAAGATCTAAAGATTAGATGAAGAAGAACAGAAGAAGAGCTCCGTCTGAGTTTCGGTCGTGGAGTTTCTGCTTTCGTCGTTTCACCGGTTTGACTAGTTTTGGCCGTGGAGTGTTGCAGCCGTATGCCCGTGCCGTATAAGCCGATGGGCGATGATGGTGATGAGTACTCCGTATTATTTTGGGTAATTGGTTATTGGGCTAGTGGGTCGTGTAGTGTTGGGCTGGGTCAAAGGAATTATTTTAAACCCAACTTCAAAACGACGTCGTTTTTGTTTTTTTCTTTGGCAACTGTTCTTCTTCTTCGATCGGCTGCCAGACCAGAACCAGATGGTAGACGCTGCGAAAAATATGGGGGGCAAATCTGACCTCCCATCACCGATTGGGTACCCTAATCCTATTTTGCCGGAATTTCGTTAGGGGGCACTTGCCCAGACATGTCCCCCCTCCTCCGCCCTTACTCAAAAGGATAGTACTATTCATACCAACAAGGTGCATCTTTTTTCAAGAGTTCCTCACTTAGAAAATCCAAAGTTAAGCATGCTTGACTTGGAACAATTTTAGAATGAGTGACTCTTTAGGAAGTTTCTTGGGCATGCACAAGAAATGACAAAAGTGTGCGGGAAAGACTTGTGTTGGTTTGTGGCGCCAGTCTACAATCCTATAAGCAGACACTTTCGGCCAGGGTGGGGGATGAGATGTTACAGCAAAGGTGAGGATGAAGCTAAGAGGGAGGGGTTTAGGGCGCAGGAATCATTAATTTAGCATTGTTGCGGCTGCGTTTGCTAGTTGTAACGGAACCATGCTGCTTAGTAATGGTGTTCAACACTACAATAATATAATTTAAAAAGATTTAGAGAGTATCAATCATATCTTCGACCACAAAAAATTCCAGTCTCTCATCTTTGACAACTTTTTTTAGGGAGTTATACTTTTGTGGCTCATTGATCCACCTTAGAAATATGGATTTCCCCCACTTTTTATGGACTCACAATTAGATCTTTTACGAAAAAACCCAACTCTAACATGATACTTATGTACTAAGTATCATAAAATGAGAATGGACACAAAGATCACATAATAATTTGCCTTTTCTAGCATCAGTTTACAATCTCATAAAATCTTTTAAAATTATGTTGATAATGTACATTAAAGTCTTTCCATGTATGTGAAGAATAAAAATAAATAATGAATTCTACATAATCTATGGGTTCTAAATAATGTGCCATACTTATTTTAAAAATATGAACTGAATACATACTTTTGAATAGCACAACTTTCACAACACTTCTAAAGTAGTTGAGATTTACAAAATTTAATAAATAGTGAAATTTGTGGTTGAGATTTATGCCGAGAAGAGAGTATGTGACTATTTAATAATTATATTAAATTGAAAGAGAGTTTATTTTGAGACAATTAAAAAGAAAGTAATAAATTTATTTTAGAATGAAAGGAATACTTGTGTTTAGATTCAAAAAAGGAAGACATATTCATGCCCTTAAATTTGAAAGCTTAAGGGCATCTTCAATAGTAACACATGCATGTATTTAGTTTTCGAGTTGTACACCCCCAGAGTACTTTATTTTTTACTACAAAATGAGTTTTGCAGTATTTCAAACTCAAATATGGGTTGTATTTTGGGGTACTTCATTTTTCTTTTCTTCCATGTCTTTATTACTTCACAATTTTTTTAAAAATTTTTTAGCTTACATTATTTGTCTTTTTAGGTATTGGTTTTTTTCTTTTTTATAATTTACCGCAATTTGTTTTAAATTTTCAAAATATAAAAGTAATAAGAAAAAAGAATATAGTTTGAGAATATTATTTTGATTTTGGTGTAGTAGTTATAGATGAATTATTGTAAATTTGATATTTACTGCATTTAGGATGTGAGTTTGGTGTGAATGGTTGAAAGGTCTAAGACATATACTACATTCATTTCATAAAAAAGTATTCACCTTCCTTTTTTCATTAGTGTCTAAAGGTTGCCAAATAATTTTAAGGTTGTCATCTCATTCCTTAAATTACCTAAGTCAGCTTCATTGTTATTCACGTAGGAGTGACGGGTCAAGTGAAAAGAAATTATATGAAAATATAAGAAAGTTGGGGCCAATAAGTAGTTGCATAGTTGGCAGCGCGGAGGTGTGATGATCTTAAGGTCATGGCTTCAAATCCCACTACCCGCTATGAGATATTCAGTGCTAATCCGCAACCCGTTCGACAAGGATTAGTTTGATTTCGCCAAAGGCAAGTGCGGATGGTCTAACCAAAAAAATATTGGGGAATTTACCTAAATAGCACTAAAACATAATGACTTTCCTTAAATAGCATGATGATATGTGTTTTTTCTCAATTAGTACTTTTAGTCATTATCCGTTAATCATTATTCAAGTAAATGTTCGCCATCACTGGTCATTATTTTTTTCTTTTGGATATTATTAAGTGTTATTTTGAAAAAAAAAGTTAAGTGCTATTTAAAGAAATGACTTAAGTTTTATTACTATTTGGGAGAAAGACCAAACTAGGACTAAAACATTGAAAATATACCAAAATAGGACTTCCATGTTTTTATTCCCGAAATAGGACTTCCATTACCAAACATGGTCATATACATTACCAAAAAAATATAGTAATTTGGACATGTACACTGCCACATTACCACAATGCAAAGTCACATTACCACAGTGCAAAGTCCTATTCCGAAAAAAAAAACATGAAAATCCTATTTTGATACTTTTCTCTATGTTTTAGTCCTATTTAGGATGATTTCTATTACTATTTAATACAAATATTTTAAAAATATTCTGTGAGAGAATTGTTGTAGATTTTATCCCAATTTAAAAGATTTGTTTTTGGATAAAACTTTGTTCATGAGACACGGCGGAATGAGCTAAGCACGACAGAAGAAGGTGGGGGACAAACGTCACTCTTGGAGCTTTGGATGAGAGTGACCGCTTCAATTTGTTTTCATTACCATTGCCAACATTGCTGCTAAGCATTCGAATCGCATAAGAAAATGGGTACCACCGATGGAAGCACAGTGGCGCCGTCGCTCATGGCCGATTTCCTTCAGAAGTCCGGCGGCGTAGGCGTGATCGACGGCGGCCTGGCCACGGAGCTGGAACGGCACGGTGCGAACCTCAACGATCCTCTCTGGAGTGCCAAATGCCTCCTTGATTCCCCCCATCTCATTCGCGCGGTAAGCACTTTTAATCAGTGTTTTCCCCCCCAAATTTAGGATTTTTACCTTCCAGTTTCTACTAATGTCGTCATTGTGTCGAACATGTGAACTTTGGGTTTTCATTTTCTCTTATGATTATTTCACCTACATGCTACATTGTTATTATTTTGGATAATCACATGGTATATTTACTGAAATAGATAAAGGAGTATATAACAATTGCATTTGATTATTGTTACTCATTTCCATCTCTTGAAGTATGTTGGTGGAGAGTTTTTGGCATGTTTTTTTTCTGGAGGAATGGCTGAAAACTCATGTAAGAGAGGATTTGGAGCTTTTGAGGTTGAAAGTTTTGTGATTTATCTTGAGCTGCCGTTTAATGCATTCTTCGTATGACACTTCTAGTACTGTCATTTTTAGTCACTTCAACTTGCTCATAGATAGGTACCTTAAAAATATTTGCGTGTAGTGATTTAGGAAATTGTGAAGTCTTCATTCTTCCACCGAGGGTTCTACATATAATGTTTCTTTGCAGTGCAATACACTGAAAACAGTCTAATATAGACAGGCTCCTACTTGCTATTTCAGATATAATTAAATTTGGGATTGCTTCATAGTTCATTTCAATGAACATCATTTTTCTATATCACTTATTGGTTGACATAGAGCAGGTACACCTGGATTACCTTGAAGCTGGTGCAGGCATCATAATCTCTGCATCCTATCAGGCATGTATTTTTCTACAATCGACAACTCTTTCTCGCTGACTCTCTGTCTTTACCTAAACGCGTCCTTGCCTTTAGAGCTGAATTTTGTTCTCCCCTTATATGGACAGGCAACCATTCAGGGGTTCATGGCCAAAGGTTTTTCCCAGGAAGATAGTGAAGCCTTGCTTAAAAAAAGTGTTGAAATAGCATGCGAGGCACGAAATTTATACAACAAGAAATGCAGAGAATCTTCTTCTAATTATACTACTGATGGGAAGGTTCTTAAAAATCGGCCTATCCTAGTTGCTGCATCTGTGGGTAGTTATGGAGCTTATTTAGCCGATGGATCTGAATACAGGTCGAATTTTCGTGAAAAAATTTCATACGTTCTTGCTAAATATGTATGGAGTATATATATGTGAATGTTCATAGGATATGCACTTTATACATCTCCTTAAACACTTTAGTGAAACATTATGTTTCTTTTATATCTAAACATTATGTTAAATTTTGGTGTCATTTTGCTAATATATGATATTTCTTTGTTCTATTTATAGTGGGGACTATGGAGATGTAATCAATGTGAAGTTTTTAAAAGATTTTCATAGGAGGAGAGTTCAGCTTCTTGCTGATGCTGGTGCTGATATAATGGCATTTGAAACTGTGCCAAATAAGATTGAAGCTCAGGTATTTTCTGTTTGGGCTATTCAGTATGCAACTACGGGCACACGTGGTTCGTTCTTTCGACTTGGTAACAGCTTGTGAAATGGTTATATTTAGCCCAACAATGCTCATACTTTTATTGGACGACCATCAGGGGTAGATTATGTAACAGATTAACAAAACTAAACAGTCCAAACACTCCCTCAAATAAGAAAGACCCACATAAAAAGAAAGCCTCTAAATCATTATTTCTAACTCCTTTTTATAGTTTTATTCTTGGACAATTTACAACAGTGATGATAATAGTAAAGACGAATTTGTGTACTTGAGTTAAAATGAAAAGTTTTGAGGATGGGAGTGGTCTCTGTTGAGGATAAGTTGGGGAAAGCTTGACTTAGATGGCTTGTGGAGTTGAGTGAAGTTAGACTTATATGGCTCGAGGAGGTGAATGAGGCTTGAGGCAGGGGATGGAAGAAGGGATAGAAGTAGACCTAAGAAGAGTTGGAAGGATGTGATTAGACATGGCTTACAACTTCAGGATCCTACCAAAGATATGGCTTGAGATATGAGCGTCTAGAGGTCTAAGATTATGGTGGTGAGGTGGTAGGGTAGGCTTTTGGGTAATGTTCTATATTTGTGTAGGGTTTGCTGCCTTAGTTTGCTGTTTCTACATGTGTACTTGACTACTTGTTTTTGAATGTGTGATTGCTTCCTTCGTGCAGTTATCCTTTGTCATTTCGTTTTCCTCAACATCTTTTTTAGTGTTCTTGTTTTGAGCTAGAGTCTTTTGAAAACAACCTCTTTGCTTTTCAAGTAGGGGTAGGCCTGGGTACACACATCCCCCCACTATGGCGGATCCAGAAAATGGAAGGACTGGGGGCAACAATAGGGCGGAGATCCGAGGCAGCAACCTAGGATTTTTTTTAAAGACAATATGAAATGACAAAAGAAGTGTTAAAATCCATCCCATTACTGTGAATGAGTACACATGATTTTAAACTAACTTAACTAAGTAAATAAACAATTTTAAATCAAAGATTTAAATTACTTTGATCCGTTTATTATGCAAGTGGGGTCATAAATAACCATAAATGATTTTTTTTAAATCAGGGTATTTATTAAAAATTTTAAGACGAAACACATAATAGACATTGTTATCGATGAAAGTTGAATTCATCAGCTTCAGGCTATCGAGACTATATAAGTAGAACTTATACAATGTATTACTTCCATCCATTCCCAACTAAAGAGTCCTGTTTGTCTATCCACCATTGGTTTCCATGTGACTTAATTTGTATATATATTTAATTTATTCTACCCCCAATGAATTTTCTTTATCTACCACTGGTCGACCATTGTGGTGATGTTTTATCAGTCTTTAGTAGACATTCTCATGTTGCACAGGATTTATAATTTTGTGAAGTACGAAAGTTACTCTTACTTGGAATAAGGCTCTGTTTTATGAAATTCACTCTCTCATTTTATGTAACAACTCGTGGCACTTAAACAGGCTTTTGTTGAGCTGCTTGACGAAGAGGACATCAAAATTCCCGCATGGTTATCCTTCAACTCTAAGGATGGCATCAATGTGGTCAGTGGTGACTCTTTATTAGAGTGTGCTACCATTGCAGATTCGTGCAAGACTGTTGTTGCTGTGGGAATAAATTGTACCCCTCCGAGATTCATATCGAATCTAATTCTATCCTTGAATAAGGTACTCTTATCCACCTTTTTATAGTGTTTGTGATCTCATGCCACCAATATTAGAAGTTTCAACTAGTTGGATAATGCAATACGGAGTAACAATTAAGCCAAAATGTATACTGTTTTTTCATTATAAAGTGTATTTAAAGCAATAAAACACCATGTTGGCTGCCATGGTCCACAGTCTCTGAGAGATTCATGTGATTGATGATGAAAACCCCCCTCTCTTACCCATGGCTGAAGAGGAAGAAAATTCCAATCGTAAATGTCCTTGACTAAATGGGAAGATTTGATCTATTGCTTCAACAACTATTTAATTAATAAATTTGCGAACATAAATAGGCAAAACCTTAAAAGAGGAGTCCTACACCCCATACCAGGAGATAAAATTGCTTATTAGGAATCCGTTAGGAATATTAACTAAAACAGAATAACAGCATTGATAGATACAATTACAATATCAACAGCAAAGATAATAATAACAATAACATTAAAAAAAACTAACAACAAAACTAACTAATTAAACCCTATATGCATAACACAGGGTATGGTTTTTAAAACAAAAAGCACGTATTATTGAGAGAATTTGGGAAAATAAATTTAAAAAATGGATATAATTTATTTTCTTGTGTTATTCATAATTAGATCTCACTTTTTAATTTTATTCAAAGAATATGGTTTGGGATGTTTGTGGTGATGTTCTATGGGTGCTTCAAATATGTGCTATATCACATTATCGCCTATATGTATTTACGTGGAGTTTGTTCTCTTCTGATAATGCTATTGAACATCATTTTGATAAGACATTGTTTGTGTTAAGCTGTGAGTATTCGACTTATTATTTACTTTTAGTATGGAGGATTGTTGCGTATTCATTTTGCTTGGATGAAATCATGGAAGTATGAAACTTTGTTATTTGAAATTCTGAACGTGCATTGCATACATAACAAGATGATAAGATGTATCTGAGAAATGAGAATCCATAAGTATATTAGTATTTGATATTTTCTATTTTTTCACAAGTAGTACAAGTACTTAAACACGGGGCAGAAGTTTTTCATAACACCGTATCTAACACTTACACATTTCCATTTTTTAAAAGTAATCACTCTTAACAAATTTTGAAGGTATATTCCATGCTAGACTGCTAGTTACCAAATAAAACGTGCATCTAAATATCTTTATTTGTTTCTCATACTGTAGAAACGGCTACTCTATAGGCTTATGCTTGACTTTCTTGTGTTGTATTTACTACCAGGCTACTGCCAAACCAATTCTTATATATCCAAACAGTGGCGAGACATATGACGCCGAGAAGAAGGAATGGGTAGTAAGTTTTGTTCTTTTATATTCGGCTAGCTTCAAAATTACCGTGTAATACTGATGGGTCATTGAAAATGCTTCACCATTCACTTGCATTCAGGAAATATGTAATGATCTTGTTCAACCTGTCTTGGTTATTATAATGGGAAGTGAATTATCATCATATTGTTGACAATTTCCATGTAAATAATGAATCTTTGCATTGCAGACAAATACAGGGGTGTCCAATGATAGTTTTGTGTCCTATGTGAACAAATGGTGCGAAGATGGAGCGTCCCTTGTTGGAGGGTGCTGCAGAACGACTCCTGACACTATTAGAGCAATATACAATGTGCTCTCGACCGAGCAAAACTCGGCACATCCCAAGTAAAAAAAGCACAGACCGCATGCTCCTTTCGGTTACCACGGACAGCAAACGGGTGATGGTCGCAGGGCATATATATTTTAGGATAATAAAATGTGCAGAGAGATGATCGTGTGAATGTTGGCCAATGGTTCCGAGCTCTAAATGTGCAGTTTATGTGAGGGTGAATATGATGTTTGGATCTCATCATCTTTGGCTCGCCGCTGAATGGACTGCAGAGTAATGGTATTCTATGTGATGGTGCATTTTGTGCATACTATACTCGGCAGAATATAGATGGTTATTTCTGTAATTTGATGTGTATTTTAGCTCTCCCTTGATATCAAAGTTCATTATGTTCCCAAAGCAAAATATCTGGACATTTTGTTATTGCCATTTCTTAAGTTAATACTAAAACATTAGAAAAATTAATGGTGATGACTGATGTTAAATTAAAGTCTTATTTTTAATTATGATGGTTGCTAAATTCATTTTCAATTCAATTTATGTTAATAGTGATATTTTAAAATAGAAATTATATACTTCCTCTGTCTCAATTTATGTTGCATGTCTACTATTCGCATGGTCAAATTTTAATCGCGTTCTTGATCAATTTTCGCGACCCTTTTGAGAAAATAATATAGTCTTGTCACTTTTTATTTTGTAGAACTTTTGATGTAGTTTATAATTGTATAAATTCTATTTTTTAATTCCTTACCAATTTTCAAATAAATTAAAATAAAAATAACTTCAGTCAAACCTTGTTAACAACAACAGGCGACTCTTATTGGGACGGAGGGAGAACATACAAACTAAATTAAATTCTTGCACATTTATATTCCGTATAATTTTAATAAATGATTAACAAAATTAAGTGATGAAAAAATTGTAGGACCTAAGGAGACTTTAGTTTTGTTAGGAACATATGGAGTATTTAACTGTTGGGTTAGACTCGACCTATGAGTGATAGACCGGAGTGTAGGGCACCTGAAGTGGGCATTCTACCTTTTTAGAAAGTGGGTCATGAAACAATCGCGCTATGGGTACACCACTTAGTACCCCAATGGTGTACCCCATATACCCCCACCCAACCATACCTACAGGTCCATCTATCTTTCCAACCCACTCTTCTCTCCCCCCCCCCTCCCTCCTCTCTCTCTCTACAAGTTCTCTGTTTTTGTTTTCTCCCACCGGAGCACAACCCTTGCGCCGCCATCGTTTGTGGCCGTTGTGGGTGAAGCAGTGGTGACGCCAAGTAGCCGAATTTAGATAGGCCCTGCTCCTCCTGTGCATCGAGAAGAGCATCGGCAATTCTAACCCAGCGCCGATTATATCTGGCTCTCTCTTCAGATTCTAATCCAGCGCGCCTCACACTCCTCCGGCCGCCAGCTTTGCATTTTCAATTCTCGGTAACTCTAATGCTCAAATTATCGTGCTTGATTGGAATTTCGATTTTAATTTCAATTTCAATTTTTCTTTCTTCATGTTTAGAGTTCTCCTTCCCTTAATCAAAACATTTGTTCATATGGTCACTGAGTGTGAACCACCTCGAATTGCAAGTTATTTTTCCTAGATTTGGGAAATAATTTTGTAGGATTTTGTTTAAATACGGGCTTTCAAAATTAAAATGTGTATATTTAATGAAAATTATTTTCTGCATTTCATTTTTGTTAGACATGTTTCTCATTGGCACCGAATGCCTGAGTGTATTTGTTTTTCTTCAATGCATCTACATTTAGTGCCTATGTGAATGCTAGTGTTATGTTAGTGTCTAAGTACAAACTGGTAGATTGTGTCGGTTCGATGAAAACTGTATAATTTTTTTCTATATTCAAAGTCAACATTATATTATATTCTTTAATAAAAGTAGCATTAAAATGTGTCTGAAAAATATGTTTGCCGTTTATTTCATAGAAATTGTCGGACATTAATTGATCCAGAGTCGCAGGTATAGACTTTGCTACCAATTTTTGCTTTTTTGAAATCGTTTTGCACAAACAGTTTATGCCTGTGCATATGTGGCGGCAGAGGTTTGCACCCACACATAATGCTCGTTTGAAGTTACCATTAGCCATTTGTCATGTGTATTAGAAACCTTTTGATCCATGTTAGGCATTTATGATTACAATTATTTTCTACACTTCATTTTTGTTGGGTGTATTTAGATGTCTTCTATGCACCTATAATTAGTGCCTATGTGATGCCTATTTGATTTCACACTTCTAGATTATGCTTGTGTGACATTATTGTCATTGCATACATTGACATATTAGGGAATGTCACTTTTATTTGTTCTGGATAGGCATATAGACAAGCTTTGGAAAAAAGAACTCGACAACTAAAGGCACTCAAGAATAATTGGGGAAACCGTGTTACAAGAAGGACAAGCATCCACACCGATGTAGGTGTTACTGTAAGGCAAAACATGCAACTATGGAAATGGCCTGAGGAAAATGATGTGTACTACTTAACATGCACCAATCTAGATCTTAGACTATGAGTGTTTGTGGGCAAGTTGCACTATGTAATATTTTGTATTCACCATTTACACATGATGTAAATAAACTTATTTTGTGGGCAAGTTGAACACTATGTCAGGGTGGAAGTGGATATGTTTTGTACTGTTACTGGTTGTGACCTCTTGTTTTGTTAAAAACAACATTAGTTAATCTCAAGCTGGAAGTGGATATGTTTTGCTTCAATACACGAACACTCACTGCCTGTGTGGTACTGCTTTTGTTAAATACACCACCAACACTTCATATGTTTATGTTAAGGATTCTGTTCAATACACCAACACTTACTGTCCGTGTGCTATTGGTTCTCTTCAATACACCAACACTAAATGTCTGTGTCGTACTCATCCTTTAATACAATATTTAATTCAAATATAATCCTAACATAACAAAATCCTATTTGTATTAGTTTTTAAAAAATAGTCATTTAAGGGGTTTTTTTATTCTGTTCAATACACCTACACTTACTGTCCGTGTGCTATTGTTTTGCTTCAATACACCAACACTAAATGCATGTGTCCTACTCATCCTTTAATATAATATTTAATTCATACTAACATTTTTTTCAATGGAGTTCAAATATAATCCTAACATAACAAAATCCTATTTGTATAATTGTTGTAATAAAAGTCATATAAGGAGTTTTTTATTCTGTCGAATACACCTACACTTACTGTCCGTGTGCTATTGTTTCTCTTCAATACACCAACAGTACATGTCTGTGTCTTATTCACCCTTTAATATAATATTTAATTCATTCTAACTTTTTTTCAATGTAGTTCAAATATAAGGGGTTTATTTATTCTGGTCAATACACCAACGCTTACAGTCCGTGTGCTATTGTTTTGCTTCAATACACCAACACTAAATGCATGTGTCCTACTTATTTTCTTAAAATCACCACCAACACTTTATATCTTTATGTTAAGGATTCTGTTCAATACACCAACACTTACTGTCCGTGTGCTATTGGTTCTCTTCAATACACCAACACTTAATGAGACATAATAAACTTACAACTTAAGCAGTCATACATGTGTCGGAAACCAAAAATTATATGTTTGATCATGTGTGAATACATATTCATACATAGAGTGATGTATACAAGGCTAAAAAAATGCCTTTCATATATTAGCAAGGTGAGATAAGCCGTCATAGTTGTGTAATAAAAAATATATATATTCCACAAGCTTTAGGCCACTATCTTCCGATATATACGTGCTGCGTATTGCCTACGGAAGTCGTCCACATGTTCGTACGTGTAGTCAGGAAGTAGAGGCAAACCAGCCAATAGGTACTCCGCAAATGCAAGTATCATAACGCCACACGCATTTCCATCAGACTGCTGGAGCACATCCTTGGGGAGCTCCACTGCCCATGCTTGAGTACGTCTCTGTTGCTCGGTAGTTTTGACAGTTCGAAAAGGAGAGGTAGTCTTTCAAGGATTGGACGCACATAGGATTTGCTCTGTGCACCCTTCAACGAATCATATACCCAAATAGTTGCATTGGGGAAATCAATCACTGCTAAAACCCAATGCCGGTTTCTAGCATGGATAGTCATGAAGACCTACACAAAGAAATTCATTCACGGAACACGTAAGTAATCAGCAGTTCTTTAACCTGGCACTTCTTGACTGTGCAATTCTGTTTCGTAAGTTTTGCACCTACAGTTATTGACATCAAGAAATTACCTTTTCCATTTGGGTCCAGTCCAACTTCCGTAGCATCTTATCCCGTAGCCAGCCATGGTCCGAAGTACTTTTCTGGGTGAGATGAAACTATTGGTGTGAATCTACTGTACACCATTGCACATGCATTTACATAAACTACTATACTTCAAGAAATTTTTAAATTATAAACAAGAATCAACAATTGCCCAGGCATATCTGAATTTCGCAGCAAATAAGGGGAAAATAACAGAGCTTTGCATTTAGGGTTTCACTAATGTAAATATTTTTTGTGAAAAAAGGTGCAATTGAAAAAGGAGGAGCAATTACCTACAAGGTAGACCACCGGCGACAGCAGAGACGAGGGTAGAGATGACGGTAAGCGAGGACGAGGAGGACACAATCCTCGACGGCAGAGACGAGGATGCCAGACGAGGAGGACACAATCCCCAACGGCAGAGACGAGGAAGCCAGAGACGAGGAGGGCAGAGGCGATACCACAGGCAGCGGTCGACGACGAACCGTACACCGGAAGATCGATGGAAGGAAACGTAGGAGACAAAGTTGAGATGCAGAGTGAATTAGGTGGGGGAAATCCTTCGGTGGGGGTGTGGGGGGTACTTGCACGTGTAGGGTGGGGGTATTTTATATTGGGGTACAAATTGGGGTAATTTTAGGGTGCAAGTAGCATTATCCGTCATGAAATGCTTTGAGACAGGGACACCAAGCACTAATCTTGTAGGCCGAATTGTGGGTGGCTACGTCCATGTATAGGGTAGCTTGGGCCATATGAATGCCACATTTAGGGCCATACCTCACTAGTAAAGCAAGCCACAAGGTTGCCAAAGCTATATGTTCATCAAAGCTATATGGTCGCCAAGGGCATATGTTCCATGGATACTGTTCAAGAGCTATTGCTAATCACCCAAAAATGCCCAAAATCGGACACATTGTAACATAGCTAATCAGCTGACCTTAGTTAATTGAGATTAGATGACTAACATCTCCAACTATGGGAATACAATCAAAACTCTTACTTTTTAACGTTCTAATTCTTTTTAGCGTTAGCGTTTTGAAAAAGGCTATCTGACAGTAGATTTTAGCGTTAGCGTTTTCCGAATTAGTCTACACCGTTAATATTTTATCCAAAATGTTAACGTTATTTGAAAACACTCTTTCCAAACAAGGCCAACATGAAATGAAATCATTTTGTGAAAATACGAATTTGAGTACTTTATATGATGTTTTTTGGGAAGTGTCCAAAAATAAATCCGCGAGGACTTGACTCAGAATAAATAATATCATACTAATATAAGATTGAAATTATGTTACGCATGGTCCGAACAATTGTCATTATTCCAATCGTTACAACTCACATAAATAATTCGTTTTACCCTAATTCCTAGTGCATACTCAGGCCATATTTTCTTTAACTTATTATTATTACTCATTACATTTTTAATCAGAATTAATTCATTTCAGATCAGAAACAAAATTAAATATAAGTATATTTAGATCAGATCAAAATTTATTTCAATCAGATCAGAATAATTCAGGTCAGACAAGAACATGTCTTGATCAAGATGCGTTGGGGCAGTTGGTCTCCATGGTTTAATAGCTCGATCGACAGCATGACTTCTCAACGCAACAATTGTAAATTGTAAGAAAAGCCCTTCGAAATGGAATGATATCCCCTTTGTCTCGTTGCATTAAATTTTGACTACCACTCCGTAATATATTTTTATTAAAAACAAATCATAATTTGAAATATACATAAAAATGTTCTTTGTTAAATATATTTTGATAAAGCGTATGTCAAATACTCCCTCCGTCCTATATCTTTCTTCACGTTGCACAAAACGAAGAAAAATCCCAAGTTTTTTCAATCTATTTTATTTAAATATTGGTATAGAAATAAAAAATAAAACATACGTAGTACATATTTAAAAACTACATCAAAAGTTCAACAAAACAAGTGGTGACAAGAATATTTTATTTTATCATATAGGCCATGAAAAAACATAAATAAATATAAATTCTCGTGAAATTAGAATAGTGCTCTGGGAAGAAAGTTTTAGGAGGGAGGGAGTACAAAATAAGGCAATGTTTTAAATCTTCAACTTGAAAACTCAAATTTGAAAAATACTAGTGATACGCAGGGAGTATTTAATTGAGTGTAATGTTATACTCCCTCGGTCCCGAAAAACATGGGATTTTTAAGAGTGATTTAAAGTAGTGTATTTTGGTATTAAATTTCCAAAAATGTCCTTTGATGTGATGGATAAAAGTATGATTTGATGGATAGATTATTAGTAAAAAGGTATGATGTGATAGGTAGGGTATGAAAAAGTAAGGGGTAAAAGTGACTTTTTAATAAAAATGAGAAGTGTTTTTTGGGACGGATGAAAAAAGAAAGGAGAAAGGTTTTCAGGGACGGGGGGAGTATATTTTAGTGTAATTGGAAAAACTATAACCAATGATATCCTAATAATCATCAAAGAAGTTTGGTGATGCGGAGTGCATGCTTCATTACATGAGTTTGTAGAAATCACCCTAAATAGGACTAAAACATAGAGAAAAGTACCAAAATAGGACTTTCATGTTTTTTTCCCCGAAATCGGACTTTGCACTGTGGTAATGTGGCAGTGTACATGTGCACATTACTATATTTTTTTGGTAATAATGTATATGACCATGTTTGGTAATGTAAATCATATTTCAGGAATAAAAACATGGAAGTCCTATTTTGGTATAATTTCAATGTTTTAATCCTAATTTGATCTTTCTCCCATGAGTTTGTTACGATAAAAATCCCATTATATCGGGGGTTCCAAGGGGGCAGCGCCCCCTTGGCGGGGATTCGGGCCCCCGAGCAGGGTCTAAGGGGCGGTAGCCCCTGCGGGGTCCAAGGGGCTCAAAATTTTTTTATTTTGGGCAAAGTGCTATGTTAAAAAAATTCATTTGAATTTGTATTTTCGAATTTCCTTTAAAGGAAAAATTCTTTTCGAATAGCCCTGTTTTTTAAAGGAGTTTTGCGCGAAGAATTACGTGTCTGGGGTAACAGACGCGATCGCGTCTTCTCCTTCCACCGCAACTCTATATTCCCGCAAGTCCTTGGTCGAAATCGAGTTCGAAAACTTCACAGCAATTCATACTCGTTCTTGATACGTACTTTTGAGTTTTATCCGATTGAATTTTGGATTGAACAACCAAAATATTCAATCTGAAAGTGTTATACACGACTCTCCATTTATCCACGTTCTCGTTAATTTCCCCAACATGTAAGGCTCTTGAAAGTTTGGAGGCCAAATAGCTCTGGTGTCCTTTATGCTTTGGAAAATTAGTACCAATATCACTCCATCTTTTAAACTTATTTTTTAAGTCTTCGTAGTTTCAAAACATTGCACCCACACCTTCTCCTATCGTTTTCCGGTCATTTTTCGGCGAAGACATTGGTGTCTATTTTCTAAACCATTGGGGCACACGTGCGCATTTCTTATTTTTCGTTTATTACTTTATTTCTTTTTTCCTTTTTTTAACATTTTTATCTCTTTGTTTCCTTTTCCTAGAAAAGTTTTTAAATTTATTTTAAATTTTTTATAAAGTTTTCAAAAATTAAAATTCATTGTGTTTGAAATAAAAAAAATATTGTACTTCATCTATCTCAAATTAAACATTTTAACTTTTTGTTTTCTAGAATAATGTTTTTGGTAAGTTCATAAACAAAATCAAAAGTAAAAAAATAAAATAAAAACATGGAAAAAGGAAATGAAAAAACTGAAACATCTAAAAAAGATTTTGTACAAAAAAGAAATTTTCAGAAAGCCTAAAAAAGTCCTTAGAATTAGGATGTCCAACAACGATATTAATTTTTGTTTTTTGTTTTATTTTATTTCGTAATTTATTCTTCATTTTTTAAAGCTATCAAAACAAGTTTTTAAATTTTATTTTAGACAACAAAAAATAAAGATTGTTAATTTGAGACGTACATATGCAATATATGCTATATTTTTTTTAAACAAAAACAATTTTAAATTTTAAGAACATTATAAAATAAATTTTAAAAAGAAATTTAAAAAACTTTGATTAATAAAAGAAACAAAAAAGGGAAAAACAAAAAAAAAAAAGAAATGAGTATCAGTGCCCCCTATCGTTTGTAAGATAGGCTCCAATGCCCCCTTCTTTATCGGAAAAACAGTTGGATAATAATCAGAGGGGGTAAAAATCACTCTGAATAAAATTAAAACATACTCCCTCCGTCCTATATCTTTTTTCCCGTTGCGCAAAACGAAGAAAAATCCCAAGTTTTTTCAATCTACTTTATTTAAATATTGGTATAGAAATAAAAAATAAAACATACATATTTAAAAACTACATCAAAAGTTCAACAAAACAAGTGGTGACAAGAATATTTTATTTTATCATATAGGCCATGAAAAAACACAAATAAATATAAATTCCCGTGAAGTTGGAATAGTGCTCTGGAAAGAAAGTTTTAGGACGGAGGGAGTAGAATAAAGTATCAAAATAGAATTTTCATATTTTTATTCCCAAAATAGTAGTTTCTATTGTGGTCATGTGGTGGTAATATGACACTGTAAATGTGCACATTACTATACTTTTTGGTAAGATACAAGACCATGTTTGTAATGTAAACCGATTTTAACTCCTATTTCGAGAATAAAAACATGGAAGTTCTACTATGATATATTTCAATGTTTTACTATTGCCACGGAAACATTACTAATAAGTTTTGAAAATAGGGGGTATTAGTGTCTACTTTCTAAATCATGGGGACTCTTGGTGCTATTTGGCCAAAGTTTGGAGAACAAGGTATCGTAAAAGTTTTTATGCTATCTTAAAATGTGCAAATTAATTGTATACTTAAAAGTGAAGCAATTTAGGCTCTGTTCATTTTAGTTGTAAAAACAAAGTTGGATGTAGTAAAAAACTGGAAGAAATTGAAAAAATTAGAATTTGGATGAAACCGGAAGAAGTTAGAAAATGTTGGAAAAAATAAAACGTTAAAATATCAATCAATTAAATAATCGTCCAAATAAATATGTAAAAAAACTAATGTTGGATATATGATGTTATTATATATTCATAATAAGTCAATACTTTTTCCTAGTCGTTGTTGAAAGAAGCTGAAAAAAGTTAGAAGAAACTGGAAGTAGTTGAAAGAAACTAGATGAAGTTGATAGAAATTAGAAGTTAATTTTTTCAATTCAAATGAACACGTGAGGTGTAATTTTAGTTTAGGTGACATGGGCAATGCTAACGTTTTTACCAAGTGCAATATGCACTAGTTTATTTATTTTATCTGAAGAAAAATATAGATACAGATTTTTATCTTATGATGTTTAAATTGCAGAGAGATTTTATGGTGAACTTAAGATTCACATGGATTTTTTCATATAAATTTTTTATTTTTCATTTTTAAAAAATACTCTATCCGTATAAAAAAGAATGTCACATTATGCAAAACAAAGAAAAATATTAAAGTTTTTTTAAAACCATTTTATTATAAAGACTGGTATACAAATAAAAATTAAATTTGCATATTTAAAACTATGTTAAACATTCTACAATACAAGATGTGATTTATTTTATCAAATAATAAAAAATACTCAAATAACCAAAAGTTTATGTGACTTTTGAATAGTGAAGTATGACTTTTTGTGACGAACAGTGTACATATTTCAACACATACAAAATGCTTATGTATCATATATTCATATATGAAGGTCTATCATACATGCCATGGACATTAGGTCCATGCACTATTTTGCCTAAATTTTACATTAGATTGTCAATTTCATATATATGTGGTCCTTAGGTCCACATTAGTTTTATGAAGTGTAGTAACACTAAAGGTGCAGGGTATACATACTTCCACACTTTTTATATCGTCTCATCTCTCTTATTCATATTAGTGTCACATCATATTGCATAACTTCCATACATTTCATACTACAAATGGCAATGTACATATCCCAATTCACCAACTTACTACTATCATTTTTAATTAACTAAGAATAAAAATTAATTTTAAAATCATTTTTAAAAATTTAATGTTATTAGTAATTAATTTTATTAATAGTTAATTTTAGAATATATTAAAAATATATAGTGTAAATATTTAATAATATGATAGCATTTCATTGATTTAAACGAAACTACAATACTAAATAAAAGAAAATACAAATCCAAAATAAAAAACATAAAAATAAAAATACTAGAAAAAATATTAACTCCGATAATGATTTTTAGAGTTGGAAACATAGGGGTGTTAAATTAACTTAAAGTGGTGTTCAATCAAGTATTTAATTTTTTTAAATGAAAAAGTAAAAAAATTGTGTAGAATTAAGTTTTTAAATGAAAATGTATAAAACATAACAAGTGATGCTCCAGTATGCTCGGTAAAATCTTAGACTTCCTTACCAATTTTTGTTGGTACCAAATGAGAGGGAGCGGTGTTACCTTCTTTACCAAATTGTGCAAATTTTGGTACCAAATTAAGATTTACCACACCCGTACCGTCCACCCCAAGGGAGGAAGGACACCTGCATGGGTAAGATGCGGCTTCGAGACCACAAAGCAAATCCACCCCCACCCATGTGGGTAGGATGCCACAAGGCAAACCTTTACCATGTAAATTTTATATCAAAATTATAAAATGGTGGGTTATAATTAAGTGTGTAATTTGTGTTAAATTTAAAAAATAAAATATTCTAGGATACTTGTTGGTAGGTGCTGCCAGTGATTTTTTAGTTTGTGGGTACTTAAAGGTAAAAATGAGATGACATTGCAAGATTGGCCTGTGCATGAGTAGTATCCATGAGTTCCCCTCCCCCTCTAAGAAGAATTTGAGCTTTTTGCAAAATAGAAAAAATTTACATGTAAGTGTATGAAAGTAGGGGTGGACACGGTACCGGTACGGTACCGTGACCGGCAACGGTACCGCCGGTACCCGCCACCGTTACCGCCGTCGTTGCCGTGTCACCGGTTCCGGGAACCGGTACCGGTACCGCCCATTTCGGTACCGGTTCCAGTACCTATTTTTTGGTACGGGTACCGCCGGTNCATCCCATACTCACGCGTTCCAAAACTGACATAACCTGTCCCAAACATATTCTCAAACTCAACACCACTGTACCCATTTCTCCCCTGCCTCTCACCTACCGTAGTGCTCTCAAAGACCCCAATTGGCACAATGCTAGGTTTGAAGAATTTAATGCATTGATTAAGAACGATACATGGGAATTAGTACCCCCCTCCCCCCACCAAAATATCATAACGGAAAATGGCTTTTTAGGCACAAACTTGGCCCTACAGGTGAGTTAACCAGGTACAAAGCTCGATGGGTTGTTTGGGGCTTCAACCAGAGATTCGGAGTCGACTCTGATGAGACATTTAGCCCTGTGATCAAGCCAGCTACTATACGCATCATTCTCAGCCTTGTTCTCTCTCGAGGATGGCCGATCCATCAGTTGGACGTCAAAAATGCCTTTCTCCATGGCCATTTGCAGAAAGTACTCTACGCCTCTCAGCCATCAGGATTCCAGGATCCTCACAGGCCCAACCATGTATGCAGGCTCAAGAAGGATCTATATGGCTTGAAACAGGCTCCTCGTTCGTGGTACCAACGATTTGCTGGGTTTATCTACACGCTGGGTTTTCGAGGATGTAAGTCGGACACCTCTCTCTTCATCTACTCTCACGGGACAGACACTGCCTACCTACTCCTTTATGTTGATGACATCGTCCTCAAAGCTTCCTCTGACTCTCTCCTTAAGCACCTGACTGAGCGACTTAAGGGGGAATTTGCTATGACTGACATGGGTGACCTTCATTTTTTCTTGGGCATCAATGTTCATCGGACAGCTCGTGGTCTCTTTTTACATCAGACACAGTTCACGCACGACATCCTAGAGCGTGCCGGCATGACCACTTGTCGTCCCATCTCCACTCTAGTCGATACGAAGGCCAAACTGTGTGGCACATCAGGCTCACTGGAAGCCGACCCAGCTCTCTATCGCTCCATAGTTGGAGCCCTCCAGTATCTCACATTCACCACGCCACACATCTCCTACTCTGTTCAGCAGCTTTGTCTCCATCTACACCCCCCCGAGATGTCCACGTCACGGCCATGAAGCGTGTCCTACGCTATCTCCGTGGCACCTCCACTTACGGTATGACTCTGTCTCCCTCTGGCACAAATTCTCTCCAGGCCTATTCTGATGCTGATTGGGCTGGGTGCCCCGATACTAGGCGATCCACATCAGGCTACTGTGTATTCCTTGGGGACAACCTCATCTCTTGGTCCTCCAAACGCCAGGCTACCATTTCCCAATCTAGGGCTGAAGCTGAATACCAAGCCGTTGCGAATGCCGTTGCCGAAACCAGCTGGATTTGAAATCTTCTTCTAGAGGTACAACAGCCCCTACGCCGCGCCACACTCATCTTCTGCGACAACGTCAGTTCTGTTTACCTCTCCACCAATCCGGTCCAGCATCAGCGCACCAAGCATATTGAAGTTGACATTCACTTTGTTCGTGACAAGGTGGCCCTCGGCCAGATTAGAGTCCTTCATGTGCCATCCTCGTCACAGTACGCCGACATATTCACAAAAGGCCTCCCGTCCATATTATTTCAAGATTTTCGGACAAGCATCGGGATTCGCCAACCTCCGACGCCGACGTAGCCAGGAGCATGTTAAATACTCCCTCTGTCCCATAAAGTGTTACCCATTTTGACTAAAGTTGAAATTAAGGAAGGGATAATTTTGTGTTGACTTTCCAAAAATACCCTTGATGTGATGGGTAAAAGTAGGATGTGATGTGTAGATTATTAGGAAAAAGGTATGATGTGATAGGTAGGGTTTGAAAAAGTAAGGGATAAAAGTGGTTTTTAATAGAAATGGGTAAGAGATTGTGGGACGCAATTTTTTTGAAACGTGTAAATCTTTTTGGGACGGAGGGAGTATATTCTATATTTATGTTAAATATATATTCTATATTTATGTTAAATATATATTCTATATTAATTGTACAAATATTGTTTCTTATTGTAGAATCCTACCATGATTAGGATTAGGAAAAGGTTGTATATATAAACCCATGAACTCCCACTTTATTGTTTAAGAAAAATCATAATTCTTCACCGGGCTTTGACACTCCATTTATAAACTATGGGGCACCCATGGTATATATTACTATATTACCCTCTAGAAGTCCCCTCTGAAGTCCATAATGACGTAAGGTTTTGTTTGAAAAAAAAGCAATCCAAACAATTCAAAATCCTTGTTTTCATGATCGATGAAGACTAAACGCCTCTTTCTAAGGTGCCGGTCATCTCATATAACCGAAGACGACGCCGGCCAACCCAGCCAATCAGAGATCGAAAAAGAGGGACAAATTAAAGTTGCTTGGGACCCTGTGTGTGTGTATATATATAAGTATGTATATACACTACAAGAAAAGAGGCTTTTTGGCGCACTTAAAATGGTTATTCGCCACACTTAAAAATGTGGAAAAAACGATTTGCCACACATGACCTAAGTGCAGCTACGTAAATGTGGGGAATTTTTTGCCGCACTTTAAAATAAGTGTGGCTAATAAATATATTTGCAACACTTGACATGTGCGGGTAATATTTTATTTTGCAACACTTATATGTGTTCGGAAGATACCACACATGTAAGTGTCGCAAATATCATTTTTTTTTAAAATAATGAAAAAACTATACACACACTTATAAGTGTGGCAAATACCATATATGTATATATATATATATATATATATATATATAGACACACACACACACCATTATTTTAATAATATATACACAATTTTATTTTGATTTATATCCAAAAACAGAAAGTATATTAGAATTCAAATACTAAGATCGATCTAACAACAAGTCGATCATCCAACATATATATTTTGTGTCTAAAAACATGAGTTATAAATATATCCAAATTTATCGAAATTGAAGAGAAGAAACAAATTAATGTGTGCAAAAAGATTTGTAGTGCTAGGTTGACACCATCTCTTCAAGCTTGAACCACCACTTATTGTCCCTTTTTCGTGCTATTATCCTTCTTTGATTGACATTGCACCTACAGGTTTCAAACCAATTGTGGTATTAATTTTTCATCATAATGTAAAAATTAATGTAAAAGTGATACTTAAAGTCATATCGTGAAAAGTAAAGTATAAAACCACATTCACATATCTTCATTTTACCATTAGTTATCAAAGAAACAAAAAACAAAGTAAGTTCATCACCTATATATAATTGACTTACATGTGTTGTTTCCTCCAACTTGTCACGAAGGACAATATTTAACAATTTCTGATCTGCCTTATTCTTACATAAACTAGCAGCCTGCAAGTATAGACATCATTTATATCTAAAATATAAAGAATTTGAGAAACTTAACTATAATAATTTAACTTTAATTCATACCATTCCCTCTAAGTAAGCAATGCTGAGTTCTTTCTTTGTTAAAGATTGATACATTTGAACTTCTTGAGGGTAAAGTGTCAGCACTGTATCCACCAATAACTCAATTTGAGCACGAGATAATTGGTCCTACAAGCAAATAAAATGACATTCAAATGGTTGCATATATGAGCATGACATGAATGTAGAAGAGAATAGATTTCCATGACACGATCAATCTTTAACCAAGTCAATATATATTGTTTATAAAGGTTCGATTGAATCTTCAAATGCAATGGCATAATAAGTCTATGAAAAGAGACAGCAATTCCATGAATTTTGCAAAAAAGACACATCTCTGGGGTGCCACTGTAGATGATAAATCAATTGCATCAAGTAGCAGAACTGATAGCTTGGAAGCCAACTGGGGATCTGTTTCAGGTGCTATCTTGCACACATACACACACACACACTCTCTCTCTCTCTCTCACACACACACCAAAAAAACAAACAACGGTTTAGGGATTAGTGTGCAGTGAAAAGTGAAGGGTTACCTCCCCATTCTTTACCACTCAGAAGTGTAAAAAAAACTGCCTTTATCTAGTCATGAAAATCAGTTATATTGGAAGCATCTGCCAATACTAATACCTACTGCGAATTGGCAAACATAAAAACTATTTTCAATTTTTTAAGTACTAGACTACTACCTAGTGGCTACTGCAAAAAATATCCTGTAGCTGAAAACAAAGTACTTCGTAGTAAACATCCAAGTTATGATGCATGAACACATTGAAACAAAAATCATAAAAGGAGTATGCGACCCATTTAAGAGAAAAAATGTTAAACTCACTGCATTTCCAAGCGTCTTCTGTTTTTCTACAGCTCTCCGCTCACTACATGCATTATCACGCGTGGGAGTAAACACACTATATCCACCTTCTCCTAACTTGTTCACAGCATTAGTGAAATTACTCTGAAAATAAATAACAAATACAAACTTTGTAAAATCATGTCTAGTCTAATTTAGGATGAGAATGGTGATTAATATTTTAAATACCAATTCACATTAGTACGAAAAACATAAACTCACATGAACCCTCTCTCTTTGTAAAAGAGTTTTATGCTGTTCTAAAGTTCTCTGCTCCTTGCATGTCTGGGTTGGCTTGTTTGTACCAATGGAATAAATCTGATCACAAAAAGCGCATATATAATTTGTAATAAAAATCTGATATACTTTAGTATACAAAATTGTGTTTAAGTACTGACATACCTTTTCTGTAGCTCTTTCTTGAGCGGATGCATTGGGAGGCGTATGAGTACAAGTACTATAATTACCGTCTTCATTGCTCGTATCAACGAAAACACTCTGATAATAAATAACAAAAATATATTTTACAATATCACATGTGATACACTTTATGGTACAAAATCTGACTCATAATCTAAAGAGCAAAGATTGATATTACTTAGAGAGTTAAACTCACAGGATTTCTAAGCGTCTTCTGTTTTTCTACAGCTCTCTGCTCAGTACATGCATTATCACGCGTGGGAGTAAACGCACTATATCCACCTTCTCCTAACTTGTTCACAGCATTAGTGAAATTACTCTGATAATAAATAACAAATACAAACTTTGTAAAATCATCTCTGGTATAATTTAGGATAAGAATGGTGATTAATATTTTGAACTCCAATTCACATTAGTACGAAAAAAATGAACTCACATGAACCCTCTCTCTTTGTAAAAGAGTTTTATGCTGTTCTAAAGTTCTCTGCTCGGTTGGGTTGTTCGTAGTTAGGCCAAAACCCATTAAACATGAGGTGGTGTGTGACTTCATCTCTATTAAACCAATGATTGTGCCCAACTTTACAGCGATTGCAAGGACAAACAATCATGTTACTGTTTCCAGCATTGGCAAAAGCAAAGTCTACAAATGCTTGAACTCCGGTTATATATTCATTGGATAACCTGTTCATCTTAATCCATGTTTTGTCCATTTCAAAAAGATGTAAAACCTAACAAACAAAAATTTAACCAATAATGTCAATGTCTAGAGTTTGAAAAGTTTCTTGTTCAAACCATATATATGTACTTACATATATGTTCAAATTTCATGACGGGGTTATTTAAAGTTTTTGGTTTCTGTATTGGTGGTTCTTAGAATTAAGTAGGGTATGTGGGGTCCCGGGACCCCATGGGACTCCAAGTAGGTCCGCCTCTGTCCAAGACTCTTGCTTTTATTACCCATCAACCAAACATGCCATTTTTTAACATCAACATAGCCTTGTTTTTCACTCCCTCAAGTACATATGTTAGTCCAATTTTAGAGGTGAACAAACAAAGGTTCATAACATGTATGGTTGGGACCAGTTATACATTAGCTACAAGTTTAAGTAGTATCCGGTAAATACCAGTTGCAAGGGTGGATAATGCTGAGTTTATATCAGCTGCAAGCTAAGTGGGTTAGGCTATGGTTGTGACAAGGCCCTTGAAAGGGGATACATAGGTGCTAAAAAGGGGACTGAACTATTTGTAATGGAGGGGGTCAGAGTTACTGACTTATGAAAGTAACTGATGCACCCTAATCAAGAGAGCAAACAGATCTTGACAGTCACAAAGCAAAGAGTATATGGTTACAGAGCCTCGGAGCTCTCTTCTTGTTTTTGAAGAGCTTCCACGCCCGTAACAAAATCAACCACACAATATTCAATAATTTTTGAAGATTACTTTACAAAATTGAAATGAAAAAACTGAAATATAACCAGCAATAGTTCACACAATCACTACTTCAACATTCAATATATAGTTTAACACATACTGCTATTCAAATATACAAGCATAAAAACATCGATTCAGACACTGAATCTTGTTTTATCCTTGCATATATAGAAGCCTTTGCACAAAAACAACAATAATAGGCACAGGTTTCCAGATAACAATCACTAGGATAAAAAGTGAAACCCAATACTGAATTTCAAATATATGTTAAGAATTACTAATATGGATAAACTTTAACCAAACAACAATTCAATACTGGGTTTTGGATATAGAAGCATATGAATCCACAGATTTAGGAACAACAGTAACAGGCACAGGTTTCCAGATCAGATAACAATCACTAGGATCAAATTCTACAATATAGAATAGCAATTTACCCTCTCATATAGTCATATATTACATCACTTAGCCACAAAACCAATCTAATTTCAAGAGGTAAAAGGAAAATACATACCTAAATGAATCTATCAGGTCGTATGATTGAGAAGACGATGATGAACGATTCAGGAAGAGGAACTCGATCTGGCCAAACGATGGCAAATACGATGCTGAAGGACTGAGAGCGCAGCTGTTGGTCGAGGTCGTAGATGAATTGGCCGGATCTATCAGGAGAGGAAGATGCAGGTTGAGGGAGGTTTCAGATCGATTAATTAGGTGGGTGGATGAAAAAGTATTGCGCCAATTTTTCGTTGAAAAAATTTAGTTTTTTAAGGAGTAATATAATTAAACTTTTTCAAATCCTAATTTAAGGAGTAATATAATGCACGTGTTTTCAAGTGCGGAGAAATGATAAGTGCTAATTTTTATTGCACGTTATGTGCGGCAAATTATATGCGGCTAAAAGTCTATTTTCTTGTAGTGATACTCATAGTATGTACGTATGTATGTATGCATGTGCCTCTTCTATCTCTATTATTAGCTAGCTAGGGAGTAAAAACATTAACTACCGGCCGGCCGGAGAATGCACAATTTAAGGTGAGATGAACGGCGGTTGTGAACAACGAGTTTTAAGATGTTTTTTTTTACTCTTATTTCTGGGTCTCCTGATCCTTCTTCCTTGTATCTTAATTGCCTCGAGGATTAAGGAGACGGCCGAGTTGAACAAGGCTCGGAAGTTGCCACACCCGCAGTACACCCTGTTGGATGCCGCCTTGTCTCCCAACGCAACCGCCGCTCAAAGCCGGCTAACCGCCGACTTCACCTACACCCGGCCTCAAGGCCTACAACGACCCAAACATTAACTGTTAGAATATAAATAACTGTTCCTGAGCCACAACCACAAACTTGAGTTTTTGGTTGAGTTGGTTCCTTGACATGGTATCAGAGTCTCGTTGACTAAGAGGTCACGGGTTCGAAACTTAGCGCCACCCAGTTTAAAAAAATTAAGGTTTCACGTGCAAGGCTCGAAAAAGACTACGTCTGCACGTGAGGGGGTGTGTTAGAATATAAATAAATAACTGTTCCTGGGCCACAACCACAAGCTTGAACTTTTGGTTGAGTTGGTTCCTTGACATTAACAAAAACAAAACCATTTTTTACGACGACGACAACAATAATAATTCCTCGTCATCATCATCATCGGCAGTAGCAGCGGCACAGGTGACACTCTATTATCTGGTCGGGGTTAACTATGGGAGGAACCAACACCGGGAGGACCCGGTGGAGTTTGCGTCAGTGTCGTAGGCGATGGTCGGCGGCGGCCCCTCCGTGCTGAGTCCCCTGGGCTCCGCCGTCTTCACCGTCAACGTTCACGTTCAGGACCTGCCTCTTCCCTACGAAAACGACGACGCCGGTGGCGGCGCTCCGAACTACACCATGATCTTAAACGTCGATTATCAAGCTGGGTTTGATAATAATAATAATAATAATAGGATCACAAGGTTTCGGTGAGTTGCGACGGTATCAAGTGCACTTTTCCACTGGGTTGCAAGGTGGAGTACGACACTACATGTACTTCGTTTCCTCTAACCAGGTCGGTCATCACTTTTTCAACTATTTTGGTTAGTTATTTATTAAGAAAAATATTACATTTATGGAGTACGGATTAATCTACCCATGATACAAATCTAATTTGATTCAATTTAGTGAAATTTGCACTAAATAGGACTAAAACATAATGACTTTCCCAGTGGCGGATCTAGGATTTTAGCTAGATGGGGGCACTATTAGTCGGGGGTCCGGGGACAACGCCCCTGGATTTTTTAATAGACAATATGAATTGACAAAAAAATACCGGAGTAATAAATTTTGTTTCGAATATTCTTGTTTTGACTTGGGAAGGATTTATTTTCGTAGTTTGTCCTTCTAATTATATTTTTATCATCGAAGAAAAAAGAGAGACAAATCATTTAAATGACTTATTATATCAAGTGAAATTTACACTAAATATGACTAAAACATAATGACTAAAACCCTAAATAGGTAAGTGCTGAACCAGTAAGAGGTCTGAACCATTAAGTGCTGAACCAGTAAGAGGTCTGAACCATTAAGAGCTAGTATATTGCTTAACTATTCAGAGGCAAATGTCTGATCAATTCAGATAAGAGGTCTTAACCATTCAGACTCTGTATAATGCTTAACCATTCAGAGGCAAATGTCTGAGCCATTCAGACATCTGAACCATTAAGAGGCTGAAACAAACAGTCTGAACCATTAAGTGCTGAACCATTCAGACATCTGAACCATTAAGAGGCTAAAACAAACAGGCCCTTAAACTTTTTTCCTTAAATAGGACTTAATAATGACCTAGTGGAAGGAATAATGTCTAGTAATGATGGACATTTAGTTGAATAATGACTACTTGATAATGACCAAAGGTCCTACATTAGGAAATAAAAACATATGGTCCTATATTAGGAAAGTCATTATGTTTTAGTCCTATTTAGATAAATTTCTCTTATATCAATCCAAATTGAATTGAGTATATTGCAACGACTTAATTTAGATATATTAGTCATTTTTTACAAAAATGAAAGTGTTTTAGGGGAAAAAATGAAAGAGAAATTGTTTTAAGAAAAAAAAGGAAGTATGTAATAAAATAAAATTTACTAAAAAAATTAAATAAAAACTTTAAAACCATCTTAATTAGATGGGGTCTTATTAATTTTTGTTGGGGGCACACATACATAATTTTTTTTAAAAAAATAATTTTGACCTAAAAAATAAATTTAGTAGGGGGCATTAGCCCCCAACTCTTATGAAGTAGATCCGCCACTGGACTTTCCTAATGTAGGACTTAAACTTTTTTATTCCCTAAATAGGACTTAATAATGACCTAGTAGAAGGAATAATGTCTAGTAATGCTAGACATTTAGTTGAATAATAACTACTTGATAATGACCAAAAGTCCTACCTTGGAAAATAAAAACATATGGTCTTATATTGGGAAAGTCATTATGTTTTAGTCTTATTTAAGTAAATTTCTCTTCAATTTATGTTAATTTGTCCACTCTTGCTGCAGTTAATAATGCCTAAGACATATATGCATGCATGGATCGGGAGGTTCTTAATAATTGTGAAATTTTATGCCGCGCGCAGGCCCTATATTTCTCGATTAGTTGATTTGATCTTCGGACATGGAAGGAGATAGAGAGATATCTTCGCAGTCATTAATTTCCCTTTGCCAAACTTTGATTTTGTATTACTCCGTACAACATATTAAAATGCTTGTTACCTTAACTCAAAATTATTATCAACAATTATTATTAGGAAAATGCTAAAAACCTCCCACCCTTGCTACCAACCATGCCCCGCTACATAAACATGTAGTAGGAAGTCAAGAAAATTTAAATTAGAGGGTGGGTGGAGAATGAGTAGAGATAAATATGTGGTGGAGAAGTGGGTGGAGGCAAGGTTGGTAGCAATGGTGGGGGGTGTGTAGCACGGTCCTTATTATTATCCATTGGTTGGTTGGTATGAAATTGAAGATAGAAAATGATACTCCCTTCGTCTCTAAAAGATTAACATAGTTTAATTTTTTTGGTCAAACTGTAATACCCTTTAATCACGAATTAGATTTAGTTTATAAAATTAAATATTATAAAAATTTGATATTTCAAAACTATATTTTAAAATAAATTAAACCCAATTTTACTAAATTTACATTATAACTCAATATATTTTTTCCATAATTCACGGTCAAAGAGTGTCACAGTTTGAGCAAAAAAATCAAACTGCGACAATCTTTTAGGGACGGAGAAAGTACAAAATGAAAAATGTTAAAGAACAAACGCAACCAAAAGCTCAAACTTGTGATTGTGACACTAAAACATTTTTATATACTTTAACACGCCCTCTCACGTGCAGACGTAACTTCTTTGAGCCTTTTACGTGAAACCTTACTTTTTTTAAAACTAAACAGCGATGAGTTTTGAACTCGTGACTTCTTGGTCAACAAGGTTCTAATACCATTTCAAGGAATCAACTCAACTAAAAGCTAAACTTTATAGTTGTGGGCCAAGAATACGAAAAGGGTCATGCTAGGGGTACACCAAAAGTGTACCCCATTTGTACACCACCCCTTCAATAACCACTCATTTATTTTTGATTTTTATTTACTTATTTTTTTTTAATTTTCTTGCCTAATTGAGTGGTAATGGAGGGGGTGGAGGACAAATGGGGTACACCTTTGGTGTACCCCTAGCATTTTCCATAAGAAAAATACAATATTTAACTAAAACATGTATTACCGCGATACCGTCATCCCCAAAATAGTCTTGTTTCACTAGAGCGCAATTTTTTAAATTTGATCTTAGACCTAACCATATCATCGATTATATTCTAGCTAATGTTTTTAAACTTGTATGTACTCGTATATGTTTGACATTTTGAGGGAATGTGCTCGACGAACACTAGGTAGTTAGACAAGCAATGTTTGGATTAGAAAACGATAAAAAATGCACGCCGCCGCAATGAGAATAATGAATATCTTTACTTGGGCAAAAACGCTCCCCGTCGCACCGATCTAATAACAGTAACCTAGCTAGCGGTGACATTCAGGGGAAAAAAGGGTAATAAAATACTCCCTCCGTCCCATAAAAAAGGTTACACGTTTCATTTTTTGCGCATTCTCGAACGCCAAAAAGACTTTCAAAACGACTTCTACCCACAATAAAGAGTAAATGTGGTAATTTTTAGGTATTTTAGATGTGGATAGACGCGTTTTTTTGGGATGCGCAAAAAAAATGAAACGTAACTTTTTTTATAGGATGGAAGGAGTATGATTTTACATAGAAAGAAAAAATTGGCTCACAAATATAAAAGTTTTTAGAGCAGAATAATAAGAAAAACTCTATTTTTAAATACATTTTGAAAAAACTCGTATTCAACAAATTAATTCGCACATTAAATTTAGAAAGAAAAAAAATTTCCATGGATTAAAAAAAAGAAAAATTGCAAATGGACATGAAACTATGAAAGGAGAACAGAATTGATAGTTATTGCACCAAGACCATTCTGTTTTGATAAATATGCATCGTCATCCCCATGATTTCAAAACTTACGATATAGTCTCTCATGTTTTTTATATTGTTACGTCAATGATTATCTAAACAAAAATATTCTTCAAATATTAGGTGAATATCTCCGCTACCCTCCTATGAATGGGCGTCAATGCCTCCTCTCCTTTTTCATTATTGTTTTTCTTTTTCTTTTCTTTTCTTTTTTCAGAAAGAGAATAAAATTACGGAGTATTTGTTAGTGAAATAATGAAAAGTTATTTTTTTTCAAACATACATTTTAAAAAAAAGTTTTAAAAAATCAAAAAATATTTGTGTTTGAAATAAATAATGAAATAAAAAATTCAACATATACTTCATTTTTAAATTAAATATTTTCAATATGACTAAAGAAGTTTTTATCTTTTGGAATATGTTAGGACCAAAAAAATACTGAGTAACATATTTTTTATTATATACGGAATATTTAAATATATATTAATAATATTTTTTGCACCAATGCACAAAATATTTCTTTAATGACTTATTAATTTCCCTGATCATAATGACTTTATTTTAATTTTGATTAAAATAAAAGTAACGGTATAATATTAATGAACAGAAAATGAAAAATGAGCTTAAGTTAAAAAAGAGAATGTTTCATTGATTGATTGATTTTCGTATCACGAAAATGAATCAATAAAGGCCTCTTTTAGACAAAAAATGAAAATGTTTAATTTAAGACAAATGAGATATACATTAATTCTTGTTGTTTAATTGATTTTTATTGCAAACACAAAAAGTTGAGTATTAAAAAATTATAAGAAAAATATATTTAAAAAAGAAATTAAAAAATATTTCTGAAAAAAATAGTATAAAAAAATGAAGAAAATAGGGGCACTTGTGTCAATTTCGAAAACATAGGAAGCATTGAAGCTATTCACATAAAGATATTTTTTTAAAAGAGGAATTTACCTAAATAGGACTAAAATATAATGACTTTCTCAATATAGATTTATATGTTTTTGTTTCCCAATGTAAGACCATTGATTATTATCTATTAGTCATTATTCAAGTAATATCTAGCATCACTGGACATTATTTTGCCGACTAAACATTATTAAATTTTATTTAGAGAATAACTTTAAATCTTACATTGGCAAATAACTTATGTTTTAGTTTTATTTAGTGCAAATTTCATATGTTTATGATCTTTATTATTAAAGGGGCAAGAAAGTAAGTTTTCGAGTATAATCTTTGCCTTTTGCCTTTTGCCAATGCCCCATCTCCTTTTTCTTTTCTTTTTTTGGTAAGAGAAGAAAATTATTTGTGAATTAAATAATGAAAAGATTTATTTCAAACATACATTTTTAAAAAAAGTCTTAAAAAATAAAAAAAAGTAGTTGTGTTTGAAATAAACAATGTAACATATACTTCATTTTTTTAAAATAAATATTTTCATTTTGACTAAACAAATTTTTATCTTTTTGAATATGTTGGGACCAAAAGAATATTGAATAACATCTTTTTAATATATACGGAATAATTAAATATATATTAATAATATTTTTTGCACCAATGCACAAAATATTTCTTCAATGACTTAATTTCCCTATTCTATAAAAATATTTTTTCATATACTTTTCTTTTTTTATTTTTCTTTTCTATTCTTTTTTCTTTTATTTTAATTTTTATTAAAATAAAAGTAACAATGTAATATTAATGAACAGAAAATGAAAAACGAGCTTTAGTTAAAAAGGAGAATGCTTCATTGATTTTTGTATCATGAAAATGAATCAATAAAGACCTCTTTTAACAAAAAACGAAAATGTTTACTTTCAGACTTAAAAAGTATAAGTTAATTCTTGTTATTTAACTTATTTTTATTGCAATACAAAAAAATTGATTACTAAGACATTATAAGAAAAATAATTTTAAAAAAGAAACTAAAAAATATTTCTAAAAAACCGTGGAAAAAAGAAAAATAATAAAGAAAATAGAGAGTCTTTATGTCAATTTTCAAGATTTAAGAGATTGTGAAGCTATTCACTTAATATTTGAAGCATATTTTAGTTTAAGGGGCGTTACACAGCAATATTAAGTTGAGAAATTTACTTAAATATGACTAAAAGATAATGACTTTTTTAATATAGGATCATATGTTTTTATTTCTCAATATATGACTTTTGGTCATTATCAATTAGTCATTATTCAACTAAATATTCATCATTATTAGACATTATTTCTCCCACTAGACATCATTAAATTTTGTTCTTGAACATCAGGCCAAGTAGTCAAAAGTAGTGAATAAGAAAAATGCTAACCCCAAATGTCCCCCACCCCCTCCTTGTCCACTAAAAAAGGCAAAAAAATTCAAAAAAATTAGTAAATAAAAATCAAATAAAAATGTGTGGAGGAAAAGAGGGTGGTGTACATTTAGGGTACACCAAATGGTGTACCCCTAGCATTGCTCAGTGAATAAAGGCACAAATTCAGATATCTAGTTTTCGAGTATAATCTTCAATCGCGCTATGGGTACACCACTTTGTACCCCAGTGGTGTACCCCATATACCCCCACCCAACCATACGTACAGGTCCTTCCAACCCACTCTTCTCTCCCCCCTCCTCTCTCTCTCTACAAGTTCTCTGTTTTTGTTTTCTCCCACCGGAGCACAACCCTTGCGCCGCCATCGTTTTTGGCCGTTGTGGGTGAAGCAGTGGAGACGCCAAGTAGCCGAATTTAGATAGGCCCTGCTCCTCCTATGCATCGAGAAGAGCATCGGCAATTCTAACCCAGCGCCGATTATATCTGACTCTGGCTCTCTCTTCAGATTCTAATCCAGCGCGCCTCACACTCCTCTGGCCGCCAGCTTTGCATTTTCAATTCTCGGTAACTCTAATGCTCCAATTATCGTGCTTGATTGGAATTTCGATTTTAATTTCAATTTCAATTTTTCTTTCTTCATGTTTAGAGTTCTCATTCCCTTAATCAAAACATTTGTTCATATGGTCACTGAGTGTGAACCACTTCGAATTGCAAGTTATTTTTCCTAGATTTGGGAAATAATTTTGTAGGATTTTGTTTAAATACGGGCTTGCAAAATTAAAATGTGTATATGTTTGCCGTTTATTTCATAGAAATTGTCGGATATTAATTGATCCAGAGTCGCAGGTATAGACTTTTCTACCAATTTTTGCTTTTTTGAACTCGTTTTGCACAAACAGTTTATGCCTGTGCATATATGGCGGCAGAGGTTTGCACCCACACATAATGCTCGTTTGAAGTTACCATTAGCCATTTGTCATGTGTATTAGAAACCTTTTGATCCATGTTAGGCACTTATGATTACAATTATTTTCTACACTTCATTTTTGTTGGGTATATTTAAATGTCTTCTATGCACCTATAATTAGTGCCTATGTGATGCCTATTTTATTTCACACTTGACAACTAATGGCACTCAAGAATAATTGGGGAAACCGTGTTACAAGAAGGACAAACATCCACACCGATGTAGGTGTTACTGTAAGGCAAAACATGCAACTATGGAAATGGCCCGAGGAAAATGATGTGTACTACTTAACATGCACCAATCTAGATCTTAGACTATGAGTGTTTGTGGGCAAGTTGCACTATGTAATATTTTGTATTCACCACTTACACATGATGTAAATAAACTTATTTTTTGGGCAAGTTGAACACTATGTCATGGTGGAAGTGGATATGTTTTGTAGTGTTACTGGTTGTGACCTCTTGTTTTGTTAAAAACAGCATTAGTTAATCTCAAGCTGAAAGTGGATATGTTTTGCTTCAATACACGAACACTCGCTGCCTGTGTGGTACTGCTTTTGTTAAATACACCACCAACACTTCATATGTTTATGTTAAGGATTCTGTTCAATACACCAACACTTACTGTCTGTGTCCTATTGGTTCTATTCAATACACCAACACTAAATGTCTGTGTGCTATTGGTTCTATTCAATACACTAACACTATTCAATATTTAATTCAAATATAATCCTAACATAACAAAATCCTATTTGTATTAGTTTTTAAAAAATAGTCATTTAAGGGGTTTTTTTATTCTGTTCAATACACCTACACTTACTGTCCGTGTGCTATTGTTTTGCTTCAATACACCAACACTAAATGCATGTGTCCTACACATCCTTTAATATAATATTTAATTCATACTAACATTTTTTTCAATGGAGTTCAAATATAATCCTAACATAACAAAATCCTATTTGTATAATTGTTGTAAAAAAGTCATATAAGGAGTTTTTTTATTCTGTCGAATACACCTACACTTACTGTCCGTGTGCTATTGTTTCTATTCAATACACCAACATTACATGTCTGTGTCCTATTCATCCTTTAATATAATATTTAATTCATTCTAACTTTTTTTTTCAATGGAGTTCAAATATAAGGGGTTTATTTATTCTGTTCAATACACCAACGCTTACTGTCCGTGTGCTATTGTTTTGCTTCAATACACCAACACTAAATGCATGTGTCATACTTATTTTCTTAAAATCACCACCAACACTTTATATCTTTATGTTAAGAATTCTATTCAATACACCAACACTTACTGTCCGTGTGCTATTGTTTCACTTAAAAACACCAACACGTGGGACTGCTGCATTTCTTGTTTAGTTTTTATTATACGGTCTACTGGTCTTGTCATATAACTTGACCATTAACTGGAGCAATGCTGCATTTCTTGTTTAGTTTTTATTATGCATTTGCTCACACACTTTTTGGTAAGTAATACTCTGTAATATTTTGTCTTCACCACTCATAAATGATGTAAATATGCTTATTTCATGGGCAAGTAGAACACTAACTATGTAAATAGTATTTCCTTGTGTAACTGTTGTACACTTAGACTTAATAGTTGTTTCTCTTGAATACACCAACACTTAATATCTGTGTGCTACTGATTTTTTTCAATATACTAACACTTAATAGCCGTGCCGCATATTGCCTACGGAAGTCGTCGACATAATCGTAGGTGCAGTCAGGAAGTAGTGGCGAACGAGCCAAGAGGTACTCCGCGAATGCAAGGATCGTAACACCACATACATGCTGCATATTGCCTATGCAAGGATCATAACACCACATGCACGCAAACCTACATTCCAATTCAAATATAAGACAATGTAATACCAAAATATTAAATTTCATAAATAGACTTATTAAGTGCAGGTTGTACAAACAAAAATGTTTGTGAGTGAGCAAATAATAACGTAAGCGTAACATAGTCAAATGGGCAGAAAATGTAGGTGTGAAGCTATTGGGGTGTAAGTAGCATTATCCTACTGACATTATTTATAGGTGAAACCTACATCCTACTTCTGTGCACAGACTAAAATTGCTGGTGCAAAACAAAACTAAAAGCAGAGAATAAATGCCGAAGCTGACACTATTTGTAGGTGAAACATACATTCTGGCTCTTTGCACAAACATAAATTGCTGGTGCAAAACAAAACTGAAAACAGAGAATAAATGCCCAAAGTTACATTATTTGTAGGTGAAACCTATAGCCTACCTCTTTGCACACATATAAATTGCTAGTGCAAAACACAATTGAAAGCAAAGAATAAATGCTCAACCTGACATTATCTGTAGGTGAAACCTACATCCAACCTCATTGCACAGACATAATTGCTGGTGCAAAACAAACATAACTGATGTTGGTGATGATGTTCACCACCATGTTCCAAAAATGAAGGAAACAATGGCATTCCCTAAAACAATGAAATTTTGGTGATGATGTTCACCACCATGTTCCAAAAAATTTACCGCACTGCAAAATAGACTTACAGGGAAAGAAGATGAACAATACAAGCATTCAAAGATTTTTAGGAGATCAATACTTGTTTATTGAATCACAGATTCAATTGTACGAAATGAAAGGTCCCTAAAATTCGATTAACATACCAAAAAACTGGAGCAAAATGAACTTGATAACCTGGTCAATTGAAGATGCAAAGTGCCATAAGGAAATTTATCCGCAGCTTTGCATTTAGGGTTTAATGAACATGCATTTCGGAATTTAAAATTCACTAATCCAAAGAATTATTGCGAAAAGAGGTTCAATTGAAGAAGGAGGAACATTTACCTTGATGGCGGACCGTCGGCGGCACAGAGGAGGGTTGTGAAGACGGCAGAGAGGAGTTCTGTCAAGGCGGACCACCGGCAGGCGGCGGCGACAGTGAGGAGGGCGGTGAAGATAGCAAAGAGAGAAGATAAGAACCGGAAAAGAGAGGAGACAGTAAAGAGAGGAGGCTGGGAAGACGGCAAAGAGAGGAGAGAGACTAAGGTGGAGAAGCAGAGAGGACGGAGAAGTAAAGGGATGGGGGTTACTTNGGAGGAACATTTACCTTGATGGCGGACCGTCGGCGGCACAGAGGAGGGTTGTGAAGACGGCAGAGAGGAGTTCTGTCAAGGCGGACCACCGGCAGGCGGCGGCGACAGTGAGGAGGGCGGTGAAGATAGCAAAGAGAGAAGATAAGAACCGGAAAAGAGAGGAGACAGTAAAGAGAGGAGGCTGGGAAGACGGCAAAGAGAGGAGAGAGACTAAGGTGGAGAAGCAGAGAGGACGGAGAAGTAAAGGGATGGGGGTTACTTGCACATGGAGGGGTGGGGGTTACTTGCATATGTGGGGTGGGGGTGGTCTTTTATATTGGGGTACAAAATGGGGTATGTTTGGGGTGTAAGTAGCATTACCCTATAATCTTTGCCGTTTGGTGCTTGAATTGGTTTTCTCCTCTTAGATCTAAGAAGGACGAGCCGCCGCCACAGAGACGGCAGGAGGTCGATCGGTAATCAATGGAGACGGCGACAAGAGCTCGGTTATACTCAGAGAAGTGACAAAGAACGGTTGCTTGAGCTACGATAACACTTAGTATATATGTGGCGATTTCATTAATGGTGTAACGGGTTGGGAATTTACTGGGGATTTCGTTCTTCGTTGTAATGTTTAGATGCCAATTGAACCCCAATGCTCTGCAAAGAATCCCAAGACAATTGGCGAAAACTTTTCACTCGTTTCAGAATGAGCACCAAGTGTTTGATAAATGTCTTACAACTTCTCTTATGTCCACAAAGCGCTCCATGCTGGATTTGGTAAACCGGAACCCATTTGAAGCTCTTAAACTCTTCAAGAAACAGTTCCAAATGGGCGTCTCTGAAATAGACGAAGTCCTCATTGCTTTGGCTCTAAAGGCATGTCAAGGAGACTTAAAAGAATTCGGCCTTCAGTTACACAGTCTTTCTTTGACAACTGGATTTTTCTCTTATGTGACCGTCCCAAATTCGTTGATGAATATGTACTGCAAGTCTGGGGAGTTCGATCACGCACTGCTTATTTTCAATGACTTGGAGAACCCTGACATTGTTTCCTATAATACAATGCTTTCGGGTTTCAAAAATGGGAGAGAAGCACTGTGTTTTGTGCATAGAATGCACTCAATTGGGGTGTGTTTTGATCCGGTGAGTTACACCTCGTCTCTCACCCACTGTACAAATCAAGAAATGTTCATGCTAGGGTTTCAGTTGCATTGTTGTGCGGTTAAGTTTGGGTTGGAGTGCGACGTTTTCGTTGGGAATTCACTTGTGACAATGTATTTGAAGTCTGGGAAAATCACGGATGCGGAAAGAGTGTTTCTTGAAATGCCATATAAAGATTTGGTTTCATGGAATGCGCTCCTCTCTGGGTATGTTCAGGAAGGGAGTTACGCGGCAGAGGTAATCTCAGGGTTCATTGACATGGTGAAAACGGGCATGAAACTTGATCACATCTCATTTACCAGTGCAATTTCAGCCTGTGGGCAGCAGAGAAATTTGGAACTGGGGAAGCAAATACATGGGCTGGCAATCAAGAGGTCATATGGAACACATGTTTCAGTCTGTAATGTCCTGATGGCAATATATTCCAAACACGGTGATCCAAAAGACGCAAAAGTTCTTTTTCAGAGAATGAAAGAACGAAATGTCGTGTCTTGGACGACCATACTTTGTGCGTGCGAAGAGGATGCTATGTCATTGTTCAACGAGATGCAGAAAAGCGGGGTTCTTCCTAACGACGTGACATTTGTTGGACTAATCCATGCCCTAACAGTGAACAATATGGTGTTAGAAGGTTTCGTCGTTCACGGTTTTTGCATAAAGTTGAACTCTTTATCCGAATCAAATGTTGCCAATTGCTTTGTAACCATGTATAGTAAGTTTGGGTTTATGGAAGCTTCTAAGAAGGTTTTTGAGGAGCTTGACCATAAAGAGATTATCTCATGGAATTCTTTGATTTCTGGGTTCGCTCAAAACGGAATGCATCACGAAGCTTTAAGAACATTTTCTTGTGCAGTAATGGAGTCGCGCCCGAACGAATACACATTTGGCAGTGTCTTGAGCGCAATAGCTTTGTCCGAATCCATTTCCATAAAGCAGGGGCAAAAATGTCATTCGTCATTGATAAAGCTAGGGCTGCAAACCAACCAAATCACTTCTGGCGCTCTTCTTGACATGTATGCAAAGCGCGGGAGCATCTCTGAGTCTCTAAGTGTTTTTCATGAGATACCCAATAGAACCCATGTTTCTTGGACGGCAATGATATCCGCCCACTCCAGGCACGGAGATTACGAATCCGTGATCTCTCTGTTTGAAGAGATGAAGGCCAATGGCGTGGACCCGGACTCAATCACGTTCCTCTCTGTTCTGACTGCGTGCGGTCATAAAGGAAAGGTTGATGAAGGGGTTGAGGTGTTTTCCTCAATGACCAGAGATTTTCCAATCTTGCCCTCGGCAGAGCATTATTCCTGCGTGGTCGATATGTTGGGCCGTGCGGGGCGGCTGAAAGAGGCGGAGGAGTTCGTGTCCAGAATCCCAGGTGGGCCCCGGCTTTCGGTTCTCCAAAGCTTGTTGAGTTGTTGCAGGAAGTATGGGAATGCAGAGATGGCAGAGAGGGTAGGGGAGGCGCTGATCCGGTTGGACCCAGAGCATTCTGGGTCATATGTGACAATGTCGAATGTGTTTGCAGAGAAGGGGGAGTGGGGGACGGTGGCGGAGGTGAGGAGGTGGATGAGACATAGAGGGGTGAAGAAGGGCGTGGGGTTCAGCTGGGTTGACGGTGATTCCCTCAATCCTCTTCACCGGTTCTCCGCGGATGACCGGTCTCATCCTTTGTCTGGTGATATTTATAGAATGGTGGAATGGGTTTCTTTGGAAATGAGACATTTAGAGGGAGGTGAAGACGAGACCTCATGTGTGTGAAATCGTGCTAATTCGGGTTCGAATCCTAACAACGGCGATAAAAGTTGACCACCCTCTGCATGGGGTTCTTGCACGTATCAAGGACAAGTGTATCAACTTAGTCTCTATCAACTGTACTGAGATTATAGCTTCATTTACCTCGCCCTGCCTATTGTCCGGGCTAGTACTGGGGACCTGACTGAGATTAATCCCTTAGATATTGCCAGAGGGTACTAAAAACATAACTATTGACAAACATTCCATAACTTTAGTGTAAATCGTGTTTTTAATTACTGTTTGGAACTCAATTTGTTTATGCTCTTCCATAACATTTATCTATGTATAATTTGTTTGATACTTAGTTCTCAATTGTATCATGTATGTAGGATGAACTTGAGGGAGTTCCTAGATGGGAAGATGTGGATGGATCAGAGACTGAACGAGATTTCTTCGATGCGTAAGTCTTCTCTACATTTTATTCTTCTAAATATAAATTCATACAATTCCTAAATATTTATTTTAATATTTTTCATAATTTTTTTATTTGTCAATTCTGCTATATACTCCCTCCCTCCAATTAAATGGATCGATGGATGAAATGAGTTGTGAGTGTTCGTTTAAAAAATAAAGTATTTAAATCTAAATGATGTTGAGATGATGTGGATGAGAAATAAATATTGGATGGATGAAAGCTCTTAAAAAATAAAGTATTTAAATCTGAATGATGTGAATTTTAATAAGTTGATGATGCAATTCTATTTCATTAATAAAAACTACTCCGGTAATAATAATAATAATTATTATTATTACCAGAATTAGATTTTTTCAATATGCAATTTGCTAAAATCTTGTTGCCGATGTATAGTGAACTAATAATTCCTCTTTTTGTCCTAAATTATTTCATTTTTATTTTTGAAAATGTATGTCAAACTCAAGAATGAGTATTTTTTTTTCTTTAAAAACAATGTCAAGAATCATATAATTACTTACAAATTACTTTTTGTATATTAAATAATCATACTGGGTATTTGTTTATTACTCCGTAAATGTCATCACAACCTTCTATTTACACTTTGAATGCCTCATCCGAGTTGCCAAAGGCTCGGTTTGGCTTTCTCCTCGAAGCCAAACAAGTTCTTGTGAGTTACTCCGTATATTTTAAGGAAGAGCCTTAAAGTATGGTTCTTGAACTAGTATAAAATCTTTGTGTTGTTTCCTTTTTTATTTTCCATATGGTTGTGCCCTTTAAAAGTTTAATCTGATTATAAACGTGCATAATTTCTAACACCATAGTTCACTCTCCTCTTGAGTCAGACCGACTATATCATAGTATCATGCATATTTTTACTCTTCCGTCTTATTAGTATTTAAATTTATAAGTATATTTATTATCAATCATATCATTTTACTCAAATTGTCACTATGCATCTCAAAATAATTCAATGTGATATAAAGTCTAGTGATTTCACAAAATATTGACGTGCAAAAGAAAATCTGATTATAGTAATATCGCATGATCAGCCAAATTCGAGAGCATTGGTGTGATATTTTTCCAAAACAAAAAACGAAAATTCCATACTCCCTTGTATTGCTGTGATTTTTTTCCAAAATAAAAAACAAAAACTTCATACTCCCTATATCATCTAAAAAAGATAAAAAGAAAAAGAAAAAAAAATATCATAGTTTGACTTTTTTATATCCATTAGAAATACACTCTGACTATGAATAAATATAATTTTAAATAAATAAATATTATACAAATTTATTGATACGGAGTATATTAAACCTACTCCTCAAAAATAATTCAATCATATTAAATTTGTATTATAATAAAATATTTTTTAAATGTAAACTTTTTTGGTGTCACCGCTTGGGAATCATTCCTCAACAGTTTTGGTTGTTCATTTGCTCAGTTAGTAGCCTTCGTCCGTTGTTGTCGCACATAATAAAAAAAATTGTCCATGTTGTTTAGTGAGTAGTTTTTATGTTCTAGTCCTAGTTTAATTTCAATTGTCTATATTGGTGATCATCATTTTCAATTTGAGGGGAGTATTATGATCTATATGATCTAATTGTAATTTTGATTTTCAATTGTCTATATTTGTGATCATCAGCCCATGCTATTGATGGAGTCATCATGATTTACCTCCTCTCATAATCTCATCACACATGAGGTAAAAGACGTTGGATGTGAGCAATTTCAACTTTTTAGAACGAGGAGTAGATTGCGCTTCGGCGAGTTCTGTTCACGTGTATAAACTATGCAATTAAACAAAAATTATACGTAGTAATATATACTCCTATTAGTATAAAAATAGGTTTATTAAATTTATCATGTTTAAAAGTTACAGAGTACAAAATTTTTTCATTAGACTACTTTATAATACAAATTGAGAGTAATTGAAACTTAAAATTTATTTAATTTAACTCAAAAAAGTTTAACTAAACAAATACAAAGAAATACTTTTGCCGTCTCAAAAAGATGTTCCCGGTTTGATTTTTAAAAAATTTAAGGGAGAAATTTTTTTGTGATAGATAGATTATTAATAAAAAAGTATGATATGATAATTATGTTAAAAGTTACTCCGTAGTATGGATCAAAAAGGTTTTTCGTAGAAATGAGAGATTTTTTGGGATAAAAAATATTAAAAGAGTTTTTGAGACATGACTCTTTTTTTTTTTTTTGAGGGGGAAATGTCTAATTTAAAAAACCTAATTCCTCAAACGCTCGATTGTTGATTCAGCTCCCAATCGATCGATTCGGGCTTCTTATCCGCCTTCACTAGTTCGGTGCCAACATCGACATCACACGGAGGAATCCAGCGACAGAATGTCGGAAACCCTCTGTGTGCCGCTACCCGATAACTTCGAAAAACAGAGGTGACCGACGATTAGTAGAGGATAACGACATACGACGGCGAACTATTACTCCGACTAACAAGCTCCAATTTCTTAGTCTCAGGTCAAATATAACCCTACCTTTTGAATCTTGTTCATTTTTTTATTTTGCATTTTCCATTGTCTATTGAAATGCCCTACATACTTTTGTGCATAATTTCTCAAACTTTTAGGGCATTTGTGTGGGTAAGAATTTATTAAATGACATATTTTTGTAATTGTTGTGTTTGAACTATGATTTTTCCTTTTTCATATCCAAAGGAATTTATGTTTTTATAATAGCCCTTCTTTTACTCTTCAAAACCTCTTTTTTAATTTGTGCATCAAAGAAAGAAAGGTTAGAAAGCCTCCTTTTCTACTTTTCTTCACTTGGTGTAGTCCTTTAACATTCAAAAAAAATCCTATAGAATTTCTCACTTCTCTTGGACAATAAACAAATGCAGCTTCAGCCATTAGCTACAATCTCTTTATTTTACGGAGTATTATTTTGTAGATTCTGTCCAAAATCTAGTTTTATTTCTCTTGCTTTTACTTATTAACTAGATTCGTACTCGTGATGTGCACATGCACACGGTAAGTATTTCTTCGAAATTTTGAAGAATGTGAATGGTTCATAATTTTAATGCAAGAATCTGAGTAATAAGTTATGATGAAGAGTTAAGAATGAAGATTTGAATCTCATACAATTACAATAAACATCCTTGACAAAACAAAATTATAAACTAAGAATGTCCTTGATTGGTGCTTCTCATACAACCATGTGTGTATTTTGGATTTCATTGATTGTTAAATCTTCGTATGAACATGAAATGTTTGAAAAAAAACAAATCTTCATATAAACATAAATTGTAAGCCAACCTAGTCACCACGAGCATCGACATTGTTCGTTCACGAGATATATTCAAATGCAAAAAATTAGTGGTATGAAAGTAGGGTGAGTAAGAAAATGATTGTTGGTTAAAAAATGTTGTGAAGTGTGTTTTAGACCTTTACTTTAGATTCTATGATGTAACGAAAGTATGAAGTTAATTGAGGGACATCCAATAAAGAAAATGTGACTTAAATGGTTGGGAGAAAGGAGTACATTTTAAACAATTTTCTCTTTTTAAAAATAAAAGTACCATAACTTTAAAATACCTTAAATGGTAATCAGTATAATGGCACATTGATCCTTTCTTTGCACAGCTTGGAAGCATATATATTGGAGCAATTATGGCAAGAAATAGCAGCAGCAGAAGCCGACAAAAGCCCAACCTACTGGTAACAGGAACACCGGGCACAGGAAAGACAACAATGGCATCTGCCCTGGCTGAGGCGGCTCAGCTTCGACACATAAACGTTGGTGATCTCGTCAGAGCTAAGAACTTGCACGATGGCTGGGACGATGAACTTGATTGTTACGTCATCAATGAAGACCTTGTAAGCCTTGCACATTAATTTATTATTTTCATTCTCTTGCTCACATAGATGCATGTTTTCAATGAGGTTTCTGGTTTACTGTAAAACTCTATATAGAATATATTCTATCTAAATATTGAATTACCTCTGAAATGTATTGGTCCCAACTAATGAATTTTTGCACGTACACACCTATTGTTGTAATGCTCATCTAGAATATAACAGATTTTGTCTAAGATGTTCTTATATAGAGGTTATACAGCTTATACTGTATTTCTTGTACGAGTAATTTAGAAGATTGAAGATTCATTTTTTGATTTGCCAAATTTGTGTTTTTGTTTTTGCACCTAGGCTTTTGAGAGAGAGAGAGAGAGAGAGAGAGAGGTTACATGTTTTTTTATGTCTTCATTTTTATGTCAATTAGTTTTAAAATTTTTACTTTTTTTGGTGTCAATTAGTTAGAAATTAAATGTGTTTTTTTATGTCTTCATTTTTCATTTTCTCTTGCCAGATTTGTGAACAAAGCAAACCTCATTGCTTCATGGTTTGGAAAAGTGCTTTTTGTTGGAAATGTGCCGTATTTGAGATGCTTAAGTGGGAACAGTGGGAAATATAGGGCTCAAAAGTGCATTTGTTGGGATTTATAGTTAATTGTAAGTATTGGGTGAAGAGATTATGAATACTTGTTGTGATCGAAATGCTTATGGCTTGGTGTAGTTAGTATTCAGCATTTTATGTGTTTGGATTTGGCCCCGGTGCGGAGATGTGAGGGGCTTTTGGTGGCGGGTGCCAGGCGGGAGTGTGGGAAGGGGTACACGTAAGAAGAGTTGGGAGGAGGTGGTTAGACATGACTTTAGACTTTTGGCTCTTTCCGAGGATGTGACATTAAATAGGAGTGTTTGGATAGGGGTAAGCGTTTGGGCCTGGTTGTAGTTTCCGTGCTTGTTAATGTGTCCTTGGTAGTCTCTGTGATTGTTAATGTGTGGTTTATATGCTTGATGCTTCTTGTTTTTTTTCTATCTTTAGCTTGCTCTCTGCTTTTTTTCCATGCTTTGTGCTTTTTGCTACTTGAGCTGGGGTCTCTTGGGAACAGCCTCTTTACTTTTAAGTAGGGGTAAGCTATGCGTACACACACCCTCCCCAAACCCTACTCCCGTGGGATTTTACTGGGTTGTTGTTGTATGTGTTTTTGGATTTGGACTTTGAACATTATCCATAATCAATACACATACTGTACTGATTCCTGACTATGGTTTCTCTGCATTATCGAGTGAATTTGAAATTAATCTATTCAGCTGATGTAGAAAAAGAAAAGGATACCTTCTTTATCTGTTTGTCATTCTTGTTATAAGTCTGTTTGTTATGGCTCCTCTTATTAGGTGTGTGATGAGCTTGAAGACATGATGACCCAAGGTGGAAACATTGTGGATTACCATGGCTGTGACTTCTTTCCCGAGCGCTGGTTTGATTGTGTTGTGGTTCTTCAAACTGAGAACTCAATTTTGTATGATCGCCTGAAGAATAGGTTTTTTTTCTTTCCTCTTTTTTTAGTTATAATCTCATGAATGGAGCTAAAAGAGTGACTATTGGAAATGTTTTAGCTACAAGTACATAATGGACTAAATCCAAATGACACATTAAACTCCTCTTGCTCCTTTGTAGAAGTTTTGGGCATAAAGAGCAGCGAAGCATATAGGGTCTAACAGACACTTTTTGACCCCCCCCACCCCCCCCCCCCAAAGACCCTAACGGAGTTGGGGTTGTATTGGGTTGTTGTTTTTGTTGTAGCTTTTGCTGATTTTGCTTATATGGCGGTGGCACAGGGGTTATTCAGATGCTAAGCTAAATAACAACATAGAATGTGAAGTCTTCCAAATGCTGCTGGAGGAGGCTAAAGAGAGTTACAGAGAGGAAATCGTGGTTGCGTTAAAGAGCAACTCGGTTGAGGATATGAGTCACAACGTCGAAACCCTAACTGATTGGGTTCACAGCTGGAGTACCACCTCATTGTAAGATGCTTTGTTTTTAATAGTTCTCATTCACATCCCCTTTTTTGTGCCCTTAAATTTTGTGGAGGATCCCTATGAAAATGAAACATTGTTTTAGAGTTTGGGTTTTTTTTCTTTTCAAAATTACTATTATGGGCGATTGTGTCTCATTTTAACACTATCGAATCTCCTGAAGAAATAGAAAAGATTGTTGAATTGTTAAAGAGGGAATTTTAAAAGAAAGACTATGGCTCGACAAATTTATGTCTCGACCTGCAATTCAAACATTTATACAATGGTAGATTCGTCCATCAGTCAAACTATACTCAGAAGATGTTAATGTTTTTTTAATATGAGCAAAGTTCAAGTTCATTCCTTGAGTATTACTCCTGGTTGTCTGGTCACTAGATATACATTGAAATCTTTTCTGCCTCCAATAAGAGGGTGAAGAATATTGATAGCAATTTCAGACAAATTATGTGTTCATGTGATACAATACGTCAATTTCTTAAAAGTCGTCAAAACAAAGGTTAACAACAATGCAATCAAATCAAGCTGAATTGATAGCAATACCATATGACATTGGTTGAGAATGCGTATGGTTGAGAACGATCAATTACATACAAGGAGCATGGAGTTTTTAACAAATCAAGAACCTCCTAGTTATCTATGATGACAATCCAACATGCATAACTCAAACTAAAGAAGATTAGAATGAAACACTTCTCACCAAAGTACTTCCCAACATTTCACCCGTAGAAAGAGAAGATCAATATTCATCAAATCAAGTCAAGTGAAAACCTAGTAGAGTTTACAAAATATTTATCAATGGGTTTTCTTAGTAACTTTTTTGAAGTGACAACATAATTGATCATCTAGTATCAAATAATATAGGTTTTGAAGAACCTAGCTAACATTATTATTTATTGGATCCATAGCCAACATTATTTAGTAGTAGTATAATGTTAATAACGAATGAATGGGAATGATGATATATTTGAGCTTGAATGTACATTAGTTTTTTTGTGTATATCTTTTCTAATTATATTGGAGTTGAATGTAAATTTGTTTTAATATTGATGTTACTAATGAAATTGATTATATGGGATTATATATAATCGGTGGAAATGTTAATATTTTAGAACAAATTATAAGTTTTTTTAGTGAATAAGATAAAATATTTTTATAACTTTTGGATTTATAACTGAATAAACCCTTATGTCAAAATTATTTTAAGAAATTACATGTCTGACATTATTTATAAGTTGTATATTTGTTTATAAAATTTACAGATCAATTGCTTTTGATAAAACTTAATTCTAATTTATTTTTTTTACCTGATTTATTGGAGTGTACATCAAAACGTATATAAAGTTATTAAACCTTTTTGGACATGTTCAAGTATTATGTTTGAACATGTAAGGATTTAATTGCACATTTGAAAGCATTTCTTCCACGGTTGATTATTTCAAGGAAATTTATCAAGGATTCAAAATATTCAGGTATTAAAACTTTATAATTTTATGTTTTAATTACCTCTATTTTACGTATTATGTTTATCCAATGAGTATGAGTCTGATTATGAATGGGTAAAATGATTTTTTTAATTATTAATTCCTGGACCTTAATTGAATTATATATTGATTTTAATATATTTTTACCCTTGCATATAATTATTTTTACGTCATAAAATACTAAGTAAACTTCACTTCAATATCCAATTTAATGTATTTATGCATCATACCTTTATTTGATTCATCATCCCTCACTGTCTTGGAACTGATTGTTGCACTTTTTGTGAGCTTTCTCATTTCAACAGAATTCCTGAATTAACATGTTTAATTTTAATGAATGATTAGAACCATTTTAAGAAACAATGATTTCACACTCTTTGTAAAAAAATGTGAAAATACGTTTTTAATTTTTAACAGTATATTTCAATTTTCGCAATGATGCATTTAAAACAGAATATTAAGGTGTTATAGAATATTTATAATTTGGTATAGTAATAAAGAGAAAATAAGAAAGAGTGTTTTCTCACCTTGAAAAAGAAGATTTAAACTTGATTATCTTCAATAAGAGTGTATTGAATGCGGTATTATTGAATGTGGTTGGTGGTGTAGTTGTATGCAATATATTGTGGTAAGGAATAGGTTGAGAGGTTGAGAGATAAGTAATTAGAGATGGGTAGTGAGAGATATAAATGAGGGAACTTAGGATAGTACCAACTTAGAGCCTAAGGCTACATACTTTAGAGGTGTATTGCTCTACAAAAAATAATCATTCGGTTTATACTCTATTAAATTTATACGGAGTATATATTTAGAGCATTTTAACTATAATACGTTTATACTGAACAATATAAATTTTTCACTGTAAAAATATCATGTAATATATTTATAGTTAATTTAAATGGAAATTTTTTCTAGATCTCAATTCGATTAAAATATTTCAAAAAATAAAACATGAATAATATTTTGCA